GGATACAGGTGGACCCATTCTAACAATGAGGTGTACAAGATTTTATGTCAAAAAACGAACTTTACAATTTAGGTGGGGGAGGAGGGGTAGTTGTGGAGATGGGAAGGAAGGGATGGTAGAGGAAAACAAAGGAGGAGGCAACGATGCTTGATACGACATGTACTCATTATCTTGCTCATGTGATTGTAACCCCTCTGTACAGTATTTTCACAATAAAAATTCTACAAAAAATAAGAGATGGCGGGAGCTGACAGGGCCTTTCTTAAAAATGAATTTCACTGGCTGCTTCCAAAAGAGAAACTTTGTAGGGGATTTTTGGTGGAGTGCTTTGTTTTCTTCACCAATGAATCTTCCTCGCTGGATGAGAATAAGAGGCATTTAAGGAGGTCCTTCTGTGTTTGAAGTCTTGAATTGGAAAATTCACTTTTTGCCAACTTGCTAGTCATGGGAAGAAGTGTCCAGGCAGTGAGTAACTTTATCATTTCATCACCCTTGAGCTTCTGGAGAACAGATTTTACAAGTTCTGAAGAGGCAAAACACCAGTCCTCTTGCCCCTACAATTGCAATCCTGTTGTTCTGTATTACTAGAGACTGAGGCTTCCTGGAGTAATGGGGAAACCAATAACGTTTTCCTCAGGCTCAATGTCAATGGAAGTGACCAGGAGTACTATGTCTTGAATATCCACGATCCACCTACTTAGAAATCCAGGCTCCATCTTCACTATGGTTCCAGTGTGTTTAGCCTTAAAACCCTCAGTTAGAACTTGTGGTAAAAAGTAATGAGTCAGTTTTAATTATTTCAAGTTGCCTATCAGCTCAAGAGCCAAGAGTTGGGAATAAAAGCTGACTTTCTGGAACAAGAAGAAATGCCAGGGTTTTTACTCATTGCTAGATAAATTTCGAGTTTCTTTGGCTTGTGGTGGTTGGTAGAGCTGTGTTATTCCCCAGACATGTTTCTTTATGGGCGGGTCTGTTCCATGTGCTTTCCTCCACCTAAGAACATCAAAGCAACTGTCAGCTTAGGAACTTCATCATCCAATGAGATCCCTGCACATAGTATTAATCACATTTCTGCATATGTTTACCATTGTTTTAGATTTTGAAGCCAGAGCTTATGGGTCTTACCTGACTTGCACAGCTACAGAGGATGGGAAAAAATGGAAACAATAACTAGTAGCAGGATCACAGAGGAGGTGAGCTGGCAGCTGGACACGGAGAAATGGACTATTCTTCTCTCTGAGGCAACCTAGATGTTACACCTGTTTCAAAGTCTTCCTACTTCAGCTTCCAGCTCCAACGAAGGCAACAGGGACTGTGGGCAGAAAGGGTACTGACCATAAACAGTGAATTCATGCCAAGTCTACAGCTTCTCTAGAAGTAGAATAGGGAGATGTTTAGTGGCTGAAAGGCTTTAGTGTTCCTTAGAGGTAAAGGGGAGTCATTGCCCAACATGCAACTGTCCCAAGTCAGACAGACACAGAAAAGAGAGAGAGAAAGATGGAGGGAGAGACACAGAGACAGAGACAAAAAAGAGAGAAGAGGCAGAGGAAGGTGTTTGTGAGAATCTACTCTACTTAGAAGAGCTGAGGCAAAGGTTGAAGAATCCTAGCCTCTCTCCGGGAGCCTGGGCTTCCACCAACCTATATAAGTCTATTTGCGCTGCAATAACATCTTAGCTTCATAATTCACACACTGCAGACTGTGTAATTTGCAAACAATAGAAATTTCTTTCTCCTAGTTTTGGAGGATGGGAAGTGCAAGATATCTGTTTATTGTGCCATAAATGATACCTTGTCATCTCATTCCTCATAGGACAAATGGAGTCGACAGGCTAGGGGACTCCTCCTCACCTTCCTTTAAAAGATCACCTTGTCCTTCCTGACTGATCTTAAACCTCCTAAAATTTCCATCTTTTCATCCTGTCCCATTGGTAATTAAGTTTCAACATAAGAATCAGGGGTGAGGCTACACATTTAGACCAGAGAATCACCATGTTTTCAGATAATGGTTTTCTACTTTGATTAGGGAGGGACTTCTGATCACCTCTCTGGATGCGCACCTGTCTGTTCACTACCTGACTTTCCTCACAGAACCTGGATGCTACACCCATTACCTTCCCTGGGGTGCCTTTTCCAGCCTGACCAACACAGAGGTGGTCCACCAATGACAGTGCTCCATCTCTTCTCGTACTGCACGATGCTTTTGTGTTGAAGCACTGGCATGCCTCAGCTTCTTCTAAGAGGGTTCACACTTTATGGGTGCTTCATTTCTATCCAGCTCAATAGAAAAAAAAATCCACTAACTCACGAGGTTCGTGGCAAGCAAGCACCTCACTGCTGCCCTATTGTGCAGCATTCTGAAAATAGAACAGCTGTCAATGCAGCCTCCTGTTTCCTCCAAGGAGCCTCCAAGTCCTCCAGGATGCCTCCAAGTCCTCCAGGACTTCAGCCTCTCTCCTTCCAGCCCTCAGATCCTCCCAGGGTCTGCAAGCCTTCATTATTATGTACTCAAATGGAAACACTTTTTTTTAACCAAAGGGATTAAACTGCAACATTAGGAAATGTGTGCTAGGATTTCTGCATGTTTACCTATGGCTGGGGGCGTGGAGAGGTTCTAAGTGGGAGATTCATGGCTTCCTTGGGGACAGAAATGGTCCAGCATCCCTCTTCTTCCTCTGGGACCAAGCTTTGCAGATCTTGGCTCCGTATATCAGAGACCAGTTGGGAAGCATCTTCTCCAGCAGCAGCTGGAGGGTGTGTTCATTTCCAGGGTAGTCTGAGAACAAAGAAAATCTTAATACCGAGAAGAATATATATAGGAAATTTTCTCGCTTACTGTTTCTAAGGATGTTTGTCAATGAGGGTTGCTGAGACAGGTTTTGAAGATGTTTCATTTGTACACTAGGAAAATACAGTTCATATACAAGATTCCTTCTCTCAAAAGGAAAATGAATCAGTTTGGAAATGCATCAGTGTGTGAGGGAGGACAAAGAGAGTTTCAAGCCTGAATAATGAAGAAACAACCAAAGAAATTTAACAAATTCCACTCATAACTAACTTAGAAATCATCTAGAAATCTAATAACCTTTGAAGATCATTACAGTCAAGATTTTGCTTTGTTTAAGTTTACTCTTATTCATGATATTTTGAGTGAAGATTAACATGCCTTTGAGCTAACTGCTTTAGGAACTGCTCTATACATTCTTCCTTTATAAGACCAGAGGTTTGATGCTCTGGTACTCTTTATGACTATTTATTATGCTGACTATTAGTAGTTTTATCTTAATGTCCACAGTAACACATATACATAATAATGAATGTGGGCATACATACATTAATATAATGCACTTATATCTGTGCGACGCAGTTGATATGATGCTCACTGATACATTTTAGTTCTGGGCCCAACCTCAAGTTCTTCTACATTGCTTTCCAGACCCTTTCCTGCCTTCCCAAATTGCTCATATTCCCTACAACTCTGTCTTTGTCCTAAGGAAACTCCTGGATCCCAGAACAGCATTAGCATCCACCTCTAGCACTGTCCAGGTAGTGGAAAGTAGGGGCCTGTGGTGCTCCTCCCTTCGATCATGTGAAGAGAAGAGCTGGTTCGAATCCAACTTTAAGAAGAGACTCAAAAGTAGATCAATGTCGGCCTGGAAGTTTTTGAATAATGTTTTTAATAAGATTGGCTTTATTTCAAGTTTACAGAATAAGACTTTCTGTTATTAGACATACACCTCTGTCCCCCATTTTCTATCCCTTATGACTTCAGTCACATAGTTTCAAGTTGCTTGATGTTTTACAGAAATGTATTCCCTACCTAAAATAAAGGTCCACTATGCTTTACGAAGTTCGCTCTTGAACATTCCTGAAGATTCTCTCTGAAAGCTTTTCATTATTTGAGCAAAAGCTCAAGTGTGAAGGACAAAAAGGTCATTGTGGACTAAGTTTAACAACATCTTTTTTGTTAACATTGCCACGTAAGGAGGAAGTCTCCCCAGTTTTTGGTCATAACAAGGCCCTCTTCTTAGGGGACCTCCCGAGGATAATCTCAGTCCTTTTCCCTCGCCAAAGGAACAGTTGAATTGACATACAATCTGAACTTTTCACTCCTTTTCTTAGGAGTGTCAGGACCCTTTATCTTCCTATGACTCTATTCTGTATCCTGCCTTCCTACCCTTCCTACCCTTCCTACCCTTCCCACCCTTCCCTTCCCTTCTTTTCTTTTTCAGTGTTATTTAATGTTGAATGTGTGCAGGTCTCATAAGGGGTATTGGGTTGGGTTTTAGTCTGTGGCATCATTTGAAAATACTTTTGTGAGCTAAGCTACTTTATTGTGGATCTGTTCGTTACACTTTCAAGACAGCACCTCATTTGAAGACTTTTGAAGCTACTCTATTTTGCCCGAATGATGGGAAGGTTAATTCAAAGTAGACAGGTGAAGGTATTTTACCTTTCCAGTTTTATACTGGAACTAGTATTGTGGTGTCTTTTTTTATATTCATGATTAAAACGGCGTTGAATAGGTATGTCAATGTGCCCTGAACATTGATGTAAAATGAAAATAAAATTGAATTTTTGCTTAAATTGAGAGTAATTTTTACTGACATTCAAGGTAACATTTATATCTTAGATAAGAAGAAGGTAAAGCAAGCAGCCCGATTTCCAAGAAGATTCATTAACTGGTTCCTGGCTCTAGGTTGATTCACTTTATATTTGTTTCACATATTTCTAGATTAAGAAACCCTTTATGGATTCCATAATAGACTGAGCCCTGCTTACGTCTCTCCTAATATAAATGTGATTAGAAGCACTATCTCTCACTTCAAAATTCATTGTCTGCTCTGGACCACGAGGGAATTCTTTTCACATGTACCATCCCCCACCGCCCCGCCTCCGAACTGACCCTTCTCCTGTATTTACTCTGGAGTTGTTTGGACTTCTACCTTTCCTTTGGATGACATTATGAACCTATACTGCGCTTTTTCTAATGCAGGGCAGCCACTGATCACAATGTGGATAACACCACCGAAATACTCAGGGAGTGGCTGAAGAACGTGCAGAAACTTTATCATTATGTGGAGTGGAGGCCGATGGACGAGCCGGAGTGAGTAACAACAGCAAGTTTTGTGAAGTCACCATTTACCTTTCCTCCTGCACCAGATTTCCACTCAGCCCAGCTCCACTGTCAAGGGCTCCACAGACACCTGATATTTCTGCTTGCCAGAGATCTTTACTGTTCCCCTTTCCCCTTAAACTCCTGTAGCGACCAACCAAGTTCAGGCTTTTATTCATTCATAAGCTTCTTCATTTTTGAAACTGCATAGTATCTAGTATCTGATATAGGGCTATGCCAGATTATTAATTCAATTCTATTAGATTATTTCCAATGTTTCCTCCCTCCCCCGTGTGTGTGTGTGTGTGTGTGTGTGTGTGTGTGTGTGTGTGTGTGTGTGTATGTGTGCATATACCAGTCCTAGGGCTTGAATTCAGAGCCTGAGTGCTATCCTTGAGCTTTCATGCTTAAGGCTAGTTCTCTATGACTTTGAGCCACAGCTCCATTTCCAGCTTTTTTATGGTTAATTGGAGATAAGAGTCTAATAGACTTTCTTGCTTGTGCTGGCTATGAACCACATTCCTCAGATCTCAGCCTCCTAAGTAGCTAGGATTACAGGTGCAAACCACTGGTGCCCAGCTAATAATTTCCAATCTTAAATATAGTCAAGGAAGTGGCACTGTAACTCAAGTAGTAGAGCATTGAGCTGAAAGCTGAGGGACAGCGCCCAGGTCCAGAGTTCAGGCCCCATGACCGACAAAAAAAAAAAAGATTAAACATAGTCAAGGTTTTCTGTAAAGGAACAGAACCAATAAAACATACACACACACACACACAGAGTATTATTAGTTACTATTTTTTATTGTCTTTAAATAGTTGTACAAAGGAGTTGCCATTTAACAAAAAAGTTTATTACTATAATGCACCTTGATCAATGTCACCCCTTTCAACATTCTCACGCATCTCTGTCCTACCCCTAACCTTACTTTTGTAGTATATGCAATGAATTCTTGACTGCATTCTCCCTACATTCTCTCTTTCATTCATCTACCTCTCTTCCCCTTGCCCCCACCCCCCGCAAGTACTTCTTAGTGCTTATTTTGTTGGGCTTTAACTTTGTCTTTCTAAGGATTTACACTATTTGACTCCCTTCACTGCAATTTATTTATAAGTACATTATAACATGTAATATGTATTATATAATATTTGCATGTATTTACATATAGAAATGAGATGAGATGATAATATAATATGTATAACATAATATATGGTAATAGATGATAGATAGATAGATAAAAAATGTAGTGATGGGGGCTGGGAAGGTGGCTCAGTGATAGAGCTCTTGCCTTGCATGCATGAGGCCCTGGGTTCAATTCCTCGGCACCACATAAGCAAAAAGAAAAAAGCCAGAAGTGGTGCTGTGGCTCAAGTGGTAGAGCACTAGCCTTGAGCTGAAGAGCTGAGGGACAGCGCCCAGGCCCAGAGTTCAGGCCCAATGACCGGACCCAAAAAAACAAAACAAACAAAAAAGATGTAGTGATTGCTAGATTGGCCTATATATTTGGAGGCTGGATAATCCAGCAATGGCTAGAAAGCCATTATTATTGCAAAGCCATTGAATCCAGGAGGCACTAAGCTCAAGAAACTGGAAGCCTGGTCCCTGGAGGACCATGGATGTAGCCCTGGCCCCAAGGTGAGGCTGAAAGCCTGGGGGCTCCTCCGAGAGTCACTCAGGTGAGTTCCTATTGAAAGGCTGATTTCCACTGTTGGCAGCAGCAATGGATGGGCTCTGTCTGGAAGACTGGAGCTTATATTCACTGGCTGGCTTTCTTCCATCTGGATCCTCAATCTGCTGCATGGGACTGCCCACTTTGGGACAAGTCTTTCCCCCTCAGTTGTTGCTCTACATCTTCATCATGTCCAGGGATGCCCTCATGGAAACACCCGGAAGAGTGCTATACTAATCTCCTAGGCAGCACTCAACCCAGTCAAATTCACAATCACAATTAGCCATCACAAAACCACACTGTCAAACCAATCTTCCTAAAATACAAATGAAGTGGTTTTATTTCTTTATTACAAAGATTTCGATGGATCTAGAATACCTACAGAACAAAATTTACATACCTGAGATTTATATTTTAAGGACTCCATATTTAAAAGTCTCCCAAATTTCCTGACCTTCCCCAAAGAAAATCTGCTCTCCTCAGACCATTTCTTTTATTTTCAACTGTCAACTTTAGCTCATACAAGTCTTGGTAGTACCTCTCCTTTTGTGTAACCAAATCCTACCCTAAACTACATATGCTACAGAAAGCTAACTGCCACCATTCCACTAATAGAAATATAGCTGGCTTTCAACAGTTGCAATGCTTATTATTGCTTATTATTTTCTATATCATCTTTTTTACACAATACACTTATTAATTAACTCTGCAATTTTTCTAAATAAATTGTAAGGTGTTAGGCAGGCACTAGAGCAGACAAGCACGTTATATCCCCATCTTCAATGATATGTTCACCAAAGTAATATTTGTTGGATAAAAAAGAGTAATATCAAGAATAGTAAGTTTTAAATACATTTATTAGTAAGTCCCAAGGCTACTGTTTAACGAATTGCCGTAGTAGTCCCAAGCTTCTGTCTTAAGGAATTTCAGTAGACTGAAAAAAAAACTAACCTGATTTTCATCCCAGGACAAATTATTTATTGGAAGCTGAATTTGTTTGTAATAATAATAACAAATGCCATTCTATTGTTCTTCTACTCTTCCTCCCTCCCTCTTTCTTCCCTTTATTCCTTCCTTGTTCTATTTACATATATTCAAAGCAGGTGGTCTGTATCTTACAAAATCTAACAATGAAGTGTAAACACTACAAATGATTTTAAATAGTCTTCTAGAGTCTTTTTTATAATGGAATTTGGACTGTTTTTTTTTAATTGCACAGGAAGAATTTGCGTACCTACCACGGTGCTGTTTTCTGTAGCCAGATTTTTTTTTTTAACTGCAGGTATGACATGCCATCAGAGTGAAAAGTATTATGAAAGGCAGTATTTTGGGCAGTATATTCAGAAAAATGAGAGTTGCAGTGGTTTCTATTGAAATACAAATTGGGGAAGACATGCCAGAGAATTCTTGTGTTGTACATAGTTTCACTGACCTTTTCTTTTGTATAGTTACGATCTTGTGGCTTTTGAGAAAAAAAAATCACTGAAGTCATTTACTGCCAGCACAGCTGTGGGAACTCGCAGGTGGCGTCTAGTTTGGGTGGCAGTAACAGCATTGATGTTCTTAGCAGTTGAGAACTTTCACGGATGTTATTACACATCCCAAGAATACTTTATGTCTGCTCCATAATTTCACTTTACCTGGGACACATCAGTAAGTTAGGCTCTGTGCATTCATTTGATGAGATTCTACCACATAAACTAAAGCTTTGACTTCCTTGAGGAACTTATTTTTACACTGCCATGTTTATTTGATGACAGAATATACTTGAACATATCAAATAAAATAAGTTTGGGGGCCAGTCTTCCTGGATTTGAATTATGATTGTGCTCCTTATTAACTGTAGCATTGGGCAAGAGACATTACTCCTCTACACTGATATTTTCATCTGTGAAATGGAAAGAATAGTAGATTGACCTCATAGGGCTCTTGTTAGAACCCACTGAAGAAAAGTTAGCAATGGTGGCTCTTGCCAATCTTCCCAGCTGCTAAGGAGATTCAGGCAGAAAAATTGCTTAGCCCTAGGAGCTTGAGGTCAGCCTGGGGAATCTGAAAAATAAAATAAATAGAAGAATCCACTGAGATATTTCATATGAAGACTCTTCTCAGTAAGCAGTAAGTTTCTTAATCTCTCACTGTTTGAGTTTCCATTCTATAATATAGAGATGATGCTGGAGGAGTGAGTTAGCACATATAAACATTTATATGAACTTTTACTTTTCTTTTAGGTCTTATCCTGAGGAAATTGGACCAAAGCACTGGCCAAGCTCTCGATTTGCCCATGTCATGAAACTACGACAGGCAGCCCTAAGAACTGCGAGGGAAAAATGGTCAGACTACATTCTGGTAAAAAACAGATGCGTGATTTCTTACCAACTCTTACCTAGAATGTGTCCAGATCAGTAATCCAAGAACTAGGATCCTGGGAACCATCAACGCAGCTTAGGCCTTACCTCTTCCATGAAAGGCAAAAGGGAAAATCTTGGTCACTCTAGTTGCAATGCTCAGACCCTCTCCCGATGCTCTTCCTGTCCATGAGTGAGCAAAGAGGTTCCTGAACTCTTTGGTCTCTTTCACGCAACAACAATAAGAAACAATGAACCAAGGGGATCTTCTCTCCACAAAGAGGTCCCATTGCTTTTCCCAAGAGATTAGAGTGGGATCCACAAAAACCTGCTGCATTGATGATTGGGAATCCATTGATCCCAGTGAATTGTCTTAACTGGAAAGGAAGGCAGCTACCTAAGGAAACCTAAGGAGCTCCACTCCCCTTTCCTGGACACAGCCTTTCCCCCAGCAAGTTCTTTGGGAAAACTTTTCTAGTAGAACCCTAGAAATGAGAACACATTTATCAACATCTGCTTCACTAAATTCCTAAACAGAAAAAATACTCTTGATCTATGTCCCTCCCTAGCCACTCAGCCACTCCAAAAAGCAGGCTAATAATACATTACATACACCTTCAACACAAATTATTTCATAGGAATTTGCTGATAATACACAACTGTGTATGACTATTTGCCATTGAAATACACAAATGCCGAACTACAAGATTTTTTTATAAATTGACTCATAAAAATGAATGCTTTCAAATTTTTTAAATTGTGGTCAAAATTAAAATATATGACATAAAATCTACCATTTTAGTCATTTTTTGTTTTTTTAATTAAGTTTTTATTGTGAAAATACTGTACAGAGGGGTTACAGTTACATGAGCAAGGTAATGAGTACATTTCTTATCCAGCATTGTTGTACACCTCAGTGTATGCTTTTCTTTTTTATGTGTAAAAATGCTCATATTACACTGTGTCTGTTAGTGTTACCACAGGCTTCTAGGAAACTCATGCTACTTGGTTAGCAAGGGTTAATATACTTTAAGCAAAAATTCTACTGATGACAGTAAAATAGCATGGAATGGTCCTTTCTAGTCCATTCAGGAAATACTATAGAAAATCTAAAGAGCCTGGCCCATTGTTACAAGAGAGGACATTTACTGAGCAGTTTTAAAAAAAACATATCTTAAGGGCTTAGGATGCTTTATTGAATGGAACCCACACAGCTGTAATGAGTTAAGAAGCATACAGAGAAGTATGGTTCCTTATGTGATGCACCATTAAATGTGCTTGAGTTATTCCTTAACTACTACCAAGTGCCTTTCCATCTCATGTTGTTACCCTTTTCTTTCCCTAGTTCATAGATGTGGACAATTTCCTGACTAACCCACAGACCCTCAATCTAATGATTGCAGAAAACAAAACCATCGTGGCCCCCATGCTGGAGTCCCGGGGCCTATACTCTAACTTCTGGTGCGGAATCACACCCCAGGCAAGTCTTCTGTTCATGAATGATGGCGCAGCGATTTCACAAGGCAGCATCTAGTGAACAGCACTAGAACTTCACATTTTTCTTGCTTGCCCCTTAAATCATACAAGCTAGGGGGTTACTAGAGCAAGCATTCTCAGGAAAGGCAGTAGATCCAGGTCTATTGCCAGAGCCATGGCTCTTCTGTGTTCATTAATTATCAGAAAAAAATGCTCTAAAGAGCTTAGCCTAGAAAGATTCAAATACGAAGTAAAGTAGCATGGTGTGCACAGCAAGATTGTGGGGTTCCCTGGTCTCATTCTTTCACTTCCTGCCCGCAACACCCCCACCACACACATACACAATTCGAGAACTTAAAAAACTTTTTTCTTTTTTTACCATTACAAGCTTAACCTAAGAACCCAGTAGAAAAACTTAAAAGTGTAAAAATGTAAAACAGGCAAAAAAACCTTTGCCCTATCACTGTAACTGGAAGCTTGTATGTTTCAAACAATTACATTTCCATCGAGTGACTGCATTGAAGCTCACTTTCTCTCACTTTCAACATTTTCTTGCAACTTTTAGTTATTATAATGGCCATCTCAGCTAATGCATATTCCTCTGTATTTGCTATTATTTCCTTGGATAACGTCTTAGAAGTAGAATTACTGAGTCAAAGAGTATAAATGTTTTGATGATCGTTGACAAGTTAACTTCCTTAGTGTTCTAGTGTCTAAAATTGACACAGTAGCTTGTTTTTCCAAAATTCACATTAAAATTCTAAAGCAAGATTGGATTTCCATCATTTCCATATTCATGATAAAAATCTCCCAAGTCTAGAGGCCTATTACCTTAAATGTTGATGACTCATTTTTTTATTCTTGAATGAATTAGAGAGATAAATTAAACTGACTGCTGTAATAAATGTTAATCTAATACAAAGATGTAGTAAGGGAGAAAATGAATTCTCTATGGCCAGAGGGCTTCCTGTTGTGAAGAAGGATCTTCACTGATAGCATTTGCCATTTGTATGATATCAGTACTTCCATTACGCAACTTAAATGAAAGGAAGGTTAGCTAAATTGGAGCATAACAATTTGATGATATAGTTATTAAAACTGCAAAACAATCAGGATCTGTAATGCCTGTAATCTCTAATGCCAGGATCTACAATCATGCCTGCAACCCAGCATTTAGGAATTTAGGAGGCTGAGAGAAAAGGATCTGGAGTTTGAAACTAGCTTGGACTCCATAGTGAGACCGTATCTAAATAAATAAGCAAACAAACAAAGAACAAGGCAAAGCTGGGGTATCATTAGAATGGTGAGAATTAACACTTAATTTTGCATATTTCAAGCTACGATATGTTGAATGATTGCAAAATTTCCTAAAATTGATCAGTGCCTCCACTAAACCACAGTTCTGGCATTCCTCCTTTGTTGAAGTGATTTCCCTTGCTCTAAGAGATTTTGAATGATTTTTCTTACCCATATGGCTCAGGATGGTGACATGTTTACATTTATAAAATCCGTTCAGTTCCTAGGCAGAAAACATTACGTCAACTCTGTTAATAATCTTCAAGTGTTGCCTAGGACAATCTCTTAAGCATTGTTCTTGATGAGCTATGCTTTGCCAGTGGCAGCAAGGGTGGGGGAAGGTGATCTGAGTCTCTGCTATTTTGTTCTCCACTTTAATTATTAAAAACATATAGGAGGAATGTGCTCACTTATTTTGCACAAAACAAGTCACTTATGTGACACTCTAGAGTCTTACAATCTCCCTCCACGTCTTATTGGTTTTCTACCATTCTACTTAGGCTTCTTCCAGAGCATGAACACAAATGGCCAATGACTTCATAAGCTTAAGGCCAGCCCTAGCTTTCAGATGATCATGGTTCTGTCTGGCCAACAAATGGGAATTACTACCCATAAAATTGAATTTGTGTGGAAAATTAGACACAACCAACATCTCTGCCTCTCTCTGGGAGGTATTTTTAGTCTCTTTTCCCTCATTTCCTCCTTAGCATCCTCCCTCCCAGGATAACCAATGAATCATCTTTGCCATAAAACCTCCACGCTGCTCATTATAAGAATATTGCTCTAATCTAGTACTTTCTACTTGACATGCATTTTCAATCCTTTGAAGAATCAGTGTTTTCCTTCTTTATCCATGAAACAATTTTCATACACTGAAATGTTAAGAGAACTCAGCTTATACGTGGGCAAAAATGAACGACTAGAAAATGATTCTGATGACTCCAAGGCTCTGAGTGGTAGCTTATAGAATGGTCGGTGTTAGGGTTAGCCAACTAGAACACGCTTACACACTGAAGTAGAAGAGTCTAGGGTGCCTGGGATGTGGTGCTGGCTCATGGCAGGAAATGCCACTATAAAGAAGTGTTAGTGGTTGAAGAATGTGTAAGGACTCACATTTCCAACAAGAGTTTTGTCCTTCCTTACTGCTGAGCTCGTAAAACTTCACATTTGTGCCACCGAGCCTACAACACGCTTTGCAAATCTTCCACATATTTTCAGGCATGTTTTGCTGAAATGTATCTTTGCCTTTTCTGGACTAGATCTGTGCTTTGGTCATAGCGAGTTCTACTCAGTGCCACTGGAGTATAAGCTCCTTAACTAAATTCTACATTCCATGAGAAGACTAGGATTAAGACTAGGACATCTTACTAAGTCTCCACATTTACTACCACACTTGAGTTGTAGCAAGTACCCAGTGTTGTATGAACAATTAAGTATAGAGAGAAAAGAATTGATCATTCTGGCACTGTGAAAGCTAGCGTGTTTATAATCACCAAGAGGATGGGTTTGCCTATGTACTTGTGCAGAGAAGAAAGTTCAAAATGTGAATCCCCCTACAAAATATGAATATCATAGCATATCAAATAATAACTTCATTGAAAGGAGATTTTAACTTGTATCGCTAAGTAATACAATGGCATAATTAATAGCCATAGTGTAATGTAGTCATTTTAATGTTAGCCAATCTTTGTTGAGTCTTTCTTGATGCTATACCTTGTTCTAAGTATTTTATAGCTTTACCTCTTGAATTTTTATGGAAAATACTGTAGGGTCGATGTCATCATCCCTGTGTTAGAGACAAGGAAAGAAAGCACGACATCAACTATAAGCAATGAGGAGAAGAGGTGGGGTCTGAGCCCCGAGCATCTGACACCAGAACCTGTGCTCACAACTGCTCTGCCCTCCACTTTGTACTATTCATTCTAAATATTCAATCATAAGGCAACACACAATGTACTTGTATGAAGTTATCCAAGCAAAACTACATTGAATCAAGGCTGTTTCTGATATCAAAACTACATTGAATCAAGGCTGTTTCTGATATCAAAACTCTCTGAGTAATGCTTGAAATGAAGATTGTCATCCCTGAGCATATTTGGAAAATCTGAGGTCACAATTAGAGGTTGAAAACTTCTAATAACATACAATGATGTGAAAGGAATCAACCCCACAATGGCTGGGGAAATGAAGCCTTTGGAGAGAAGACCACCCACCTATTTGCTCTTTTCCAGGGCTTCTACAAACGGACTCCAGACTACCTTCAGATTCGAGAATGGAAGAGGACGGGCTGCTTTCCTGTCCCCATGGTCCACTCCACCTTCCTGATTGACCTCAGGAAGGAGGCCTCTGACAAGCTGGCCTTCTACCCCCCGCACCAGGACTACACCTGGACCTTTGATGACATCATCGTCTTTGCCTTCTCCAGCAGGCAAGCAGGTACTGTTTATATTTGGCTGCAGTGCCGCCATGGCTATACTGCAAACGGTCTGTTCCCATGTCTTGGGGATTTTATTTAAAACACTGCCACTTCAATCTTTTAAAAAAAAATGCTCATTTGTCACCTAGTATTAAAGGGGATGGGTTCTTTACTGTAACCATGCCAGCCCCTTTTATGTCCCTGTGAGCACCAATGACCAAGAATGGGACCTGGCTACTACCCAGATGCCACTCTCTTGGCTAGGTGAAGTGGGAGGGGGAGAGGGGGCTGTGGGGGTCAGTGGTGATGATCTTGGAGTCAAGGGAATCTGATTAATTCCCTATGGCGCTGACTGCATTGTTATTCATAATTATAGGAGTCTTTTCACTAATTAGGAAACTATGACAGAAGCCAAAAACAACAACACTAGTAAAGTACTCAGCATGTAGAAATGGAAGTTTGTTTCTCCTCAGAAAAGTCTGGGCTGTTATGGTGGCTGTGTTTCACGGTGTTTTCAGAGTCTCGGGTTCCTTCTGTGTTGGCCCTTCTGCACGCATTAGCCACCACCCTTAGCCATAGGACCCACAATACTCCACCACCAAGAAGATCCAGCCAGCAAGGCAGGAGCATAGGGAAGACACTCTCCATCTCTATACAAGTCCAGTCCAGTTATTAAACACAGCCTTGCACTTAAGGCAGCACTTGCCTGTGAACGGGGCACAGAATGCCATGTTTGTTCTAAGGACTCATAAGCTCAAATTCCCTCACTCTAGGAGGAGAGAACAGATGTGGGAGGCACCAGCAATCTTTGCCTTCATCCCCTTGAAAGGAGTTCCAAAGCCAGACTTCAGTACTTGGTCAATGGCCAGGAAAACACTTCCACAGCTGTCTGGAGGCTTCTGGAGAAAACAAGTAAATAGGCAGGAAATGTATTTTTCTTGGTTCACCTGTGCTGTCAGGAAGGACATAACTTACCACACAGTTCAACGAGAAGATGTAGGCATCACCAAAGCAAAGCCTACTGAGATGACTCAGCCCTGTCTTATAGACATCAGGGTCCATTATCCATAGGCCAAAAGTGTGCTACCTAGCCTCTAGCAAAAATGGGTTTAAAAACCAAGAAGATGATGAAATAAACTCTATGTCCCGATAAGGTAGAGCAAAGGGGGGTTTCAAAGACCCTGGGCTGTTGGGAAGGTTGCCAGCAGATTATACTGTGCATACAAATTCAAACTGCACCTCACACATCAGGCCCTGGGTGTCTCACACATCACCTGGAGATTTGGGAGGAATGAGAAGATTGGTAGAAATGTAAGGCTGATGTTTCATCTGAATTGCAACATTTAGATCCTTTGGCCAGACATGGGCATTTTTTAGGACTTGGGTGAGGGGGAAAAAGAAGCTCAACCCTGACAGATTGAAAGTTTATATGAAGGTTCTTGTGGCCATGTGAATTAAAGCTGCTCCTTTCAGCTTGGGGTGTGATTTGCTCTGACTTCCCTAGAACCAGAAGCAGAGGCAGGGCCTCTTCTACAAGTTGTGCCAAGTCCTTTACTTAAGAGCTGGAAGCAAAGATGTTCCAAGAAAGTGAGCTGTTAATAATTACAATGATGGCCAATTCCTAGCATAGTGCTCCTTTCTAATCCTTGCACAAGCCATTATTGTGATCTGTGCACTGAATTATGATGTTTTTAAACCAATACTTGGGAATTTGGGCTGGAAGAGTGACACAAGGAATTTTTCATCCTTGTCTTTTGCTTGGCTGATTTGCCAGTATTTTGTACTTTATTGGTCAGCCTTCCCCAAGGACTTTCTGAGACATTGAAAACAGGAGGCCTTACGCTTCTTGGTAATTCACCTAGAGAGAAGAGAGAAAAAGAGTGAAAAGATCAGCCCTCCTGGCTTTACTTTTATGTCTAACATTGTGTTAGAGCTTGTGTTCCTTGAGGAGATGAGATCTTTCCATGTAAAGACATAACTAGACTTTCTAACAGCAGTGAACTCCAAGGGCCAAGTAGCAGGACAGACTGAAGATAGGCTAGGGGACTAAGTAGGGCCACTGTTATCTGGGAAGAAGAAAGGATATTTCTTAACAATTGTGTGGTACCCAAGGAGTATTTCATTGCCCTTTAAATATTTGAGGGGGGGGAACATGGATGAGCCTGGAAGCCACATGTTGATTCTGATGTGTCTCTGAGGCTCCTTCTTTTCTGGGTCCAAAGCAAAGCACCTGCTCATTCCATCAACAGTCTTCAGGCAAGATGAATGGTCTTCCTTTGTTCTCATTCTTCTGAAGTGCCCTAGTTGTGTATCATCTATTGGAGCAACATCATGTAAGTGTGTAAAAGAAAGCAAAGCTTCAGGCAGGTCCAAGGAAGGACTATCCAACCACAAGCCTCAGTCCTACATCTCAGATGATCATTGCTGCCTGTTGGTGATGAAGGGAGAAGACACCTGCAAGGATTTTTCTGAGCCAGATCTGGCTGCCCAAAAAGAGAGCACAAGGTCACAATGTCTGTGGCCAACATGAGGCCAGAATCCAGAGTTTCCCTCCCATGTGGCCAGGGGCCTGGGTGCTATATAACATCTACCAGACCCAAGCTTGGTACCAGCCAGGTATCTTTCTATGAGTCAAAAGACATGAGTGATATGTTGTGTGGGAGGAGGGCAGATTTGTCTCTAGGACATCACAGGGACTGACCCAAAGTGCCTCCTAACAGTGCTGAGGCTGAGCTGATTCCTGGGAGGGTAGAGGACGCTTGGCATGGGTCCTGAAGGGTCAGACATTTGATCACTTACTTTGTGGCCTTGAACAAATCACAGCCTCTCTGAATCTAATTTTTTTTGAAAATATCACCAAGGACAGAGATAAATATATCAATCTACAACATTAAGGTACTACATCATTAAGAGAATGTTTGAGATATGTTTAAGAAACATAAAGTCCTTTGTGTTATGTCCTTCACTCCCCCTTTTCTAAAACAAATCCTTTTCCCAGGAAGAAGGTTAACACAACCAACTTCTTTCATAGATTTTGGTCTAAGTACTGGCATATTTCTTAACTTTTTTTTTTTGGTGGCACTGGGGTTTGAACTAAGGGCTTCACACTCGATGGACATACACTCTACCACTTTTTTTTTTTTGGGTCCGGTCATGGGCCTGAACTCTTGGCCAGGGTGCTGTCCCTCAGCTCTTCAGCTCAAGGCTAGCGCTCTATGCCACAACGCCACTTCTGGCTTTTTTCTTTTTGCTTATGTGGTGCTGAGGACTCGAACCCAGGGCCTCAGGCATGTAAGGCAAGCGCTCTACCACTGAGTCACCTTCCCAGCCCCACTCTACCACTTAAACCATGCCTGCAGCTCTTATTTTGTCAGTGGCGGGGCTTGAACTCTGGGCTGGGCGCTGTCCCTCAGCTCTTCAGCTCAAGGCTAGCACTTAAGCCACACGGCACTTCCAGTTTTCTGAGTGGTTTATTGGAGATAAGAATCTCACAGACTTTTCCTGCCCAGGCTGGCTTTGAACTGCAATCCTCAGATCTCAGCCCCCTGAGTAGCTAGGATTACAGGTGTGAGCCACCAGCACCTGGCTGTCATGCTTTTTTTTTTTTAATTGTGAGAATACCATACAGAGGAGTTACAATTACATAGGCAAGATAACGACTACATTTCTTATCAAGCATTGTTGCCTCCTCTTTGTTTCCACTTCCCATCCCTTCCCATACTCTCCCCCCCCACTCAATCCTCCCCCCCCCGTCCCACCAAAGTTGTAAAGTTCATTTTTCGACATAACGACTTGTACATCTCATTGTTGCAATGGGTCCACCTGTATCCCTATTTAAACGATTTGTTTTTTCCTTTCCCCTCCACAAATTATACCAACATCAAATACAGTGAAAGTATGGGTTATACCATGGGGGAGGGACATACAAAGCAACATAGAAATCATCTTATAAATATGTTAGAAACAATTGCATGAAAGGAAAAACAAAAAAACATTTGAATACCTATCTTGGGGTTCATTCCCCTAACATCAACTTATCTGACTTTTTCTGCTTAACTCAGTCATATCCTAGTTATTGCAAATAAGGGAAACCATGGGACCTATGTTTCTTTGGGCCTGGCTTGCTTCACTTAATATAATTTTTTCCAAGTCTTTCCAGTTCCTAGCAAATGGGGCAATGTCATTCTTTCTGATGGAGGTATAGAATTCCATTGTGTATATATACCACATTTTCTTGATCCATTCATCTACTGAGGGGCATCTGAGTAGGTTCCATATCTTAGCTATGGTAAATAATGATGCAATAAACATAGTTGTGCTGGTAACTTTAGTGTGGTCTTGTTTGTGATCATTTGGGTAAATGCCCCAAAGTGGGATTGCTGGGTCAAAGAGGAGCTCTATATGTAGTCCTTTGAGGAACCTCCATACTGCTTTCCAAAGTGGTTGAACAAGTTTACATTCCCACCAACAATGCAGTAAGGTTCCCTTCTGTCCACATCCCCTCCAGCATCTTGCTTTTTGCCTGCACCGGCTTGGACTGCATCTCCACATTTATACTTCTTGCCATAATTGGGATGAAAAGGGTATATCACCATATCCAGCTCTTTCTGTTGAGATAGAAACTAGACCAGGCTAGCTTGGAACCTGATCCAATTGAACTCAGCCTCCTCAGTATCTGGGATAACCGGTATGCACCACCCCACCCAGCTATTGGTTGAGAGGGTGAGTCTCATCAAGTTTTTATTCTGGCTGGCCTGGAACTGAGATTCCACTGATCTTTGTCTCTCAGGTAGCTACAATCACAAGAATGAGCCACTTGCTTCTACCCCTTAATTTTCATTTTTATCAAACTATCCATGCACACATGGAGAGTTTATCACATAACATTTATTTACAAATAGATGGTCTTCTGCACATTACCCTTCACTTTTTCTCTTTGCCAGAGGATAAATACCTTTACCTTTTTTTGATAACTTTAAGTAGCCTGATATTTATTTTTCTCAAAAATAATGTGCTTGGCCAGGCACTGGTGGTTTATGACTGTAATCATAGCTATACAGGAGGCTGAGATTGGAGGATCACAGTTCAAAACCAGCCTGCAGGAATGTCTGTGAGACTCTTACCTCCAGTTAACCACCAAAAAGCCAGAAGTAGACCTAGCCTTGAGCTCTAACCCTGAGTTCCAGCCTCAGGACTGGTACTATACCACCACCACCACCACCACCACCACCAACACCACCACCACCTCCCGCCCAGAAAAAAAGATAACAGTTGTTTCGTTGTTATAATCACATTATACTAACTCCAAACAACCATTTCTAGAGTATATCTAGTTTCTCTTTATCTTTCCTTCTCTGTCTCTCTCTTGTCTGTCTCTATCTCTCTCTCTCTCTCTCACACACACACACACACACACACACACACACACACACACTCCTTCTTGTTATTATTAACTCAACTGAAAACGAATCACTCATTTTCTTAAAGGTCCCTGAACTCTCAGGTTGAGGTTCGTCTGGCATTCCCTTCTGCATGTTTGTGAGGGCATCTCTCATGGAGTCTTCTCATATCATCTTATCTGAGAGTTGCTACAGCCACCAACCTGGGGTTCCTTTGTCCCTGTCATGTGGTTATACTCTTGTTTGTGTCCCAAGTTTTCCTCAGAAGGAGTCGTCTTCCCCCTCCCCATCTTCCTCCATCTTCTCTTTTTTCTCCTCTTCTTTCCCCTCTGCTTTCTCTATCCTCTTTTTTCTTTTACTCTATCTTCCTCTTCATCTCCCACTCTCTCTTTTTCCCTCTCTCCATATCCTCTTTCTGTATCATCCAATTATTTCCTGAGTATATCATGCAAAGTAAATACGTATTATGATCTTGCATGTCTGAAATGTCTTTCTTGAAGTCTCACATTTGAGACCTTGCTTATCTAGGTTTTATATCCCATTCATATGGAATATATAACCTACAAAGTTAAGAAAAATTTGGGAAGGGTTGGGTTGTGAGAGATAGATGAGAATGTTGAATGGGGTGACATTGATCAAGACGTACTGTATTCATGAACTGCTTTGTTGAATGACAACTCCTTTGTACAACTACTTAAAGATAACCAAAACAATGATGTGCTTAATTAGAGTAAAGATACAATCTAAACAGCAGATACATGACTTTCACTTTCTAAATTCTATAGGATTTTGTAATAAGCTACAGTTTTGGTTTGCAGTGTCCAGGAAGCTTCTCCATAGGCAAATAGCACAGCTAGTGAGTTCTCTTGGAGAAGGCAGAAGTGGCAGTGCCCAGTGGAGCAGTCCAGACTCCAGCCAGATGGAGTGAAGGGCAAAAGCCCTTTCTTTCCCCTTTCTTTCCATTAATGCATTGTGACAACTTCACCTGAGTTGGCCAGTGACATGGCTGACTGGTAGATATTTCATCTGCGCAAAACAGAGAAGTGACTATGCAGATAACTCTCAGGAAAACTCTGATGGCTGTAGCAATTAGCAAATCAGAGGCATAATGGCATGGACCAGAGTTTGGTGTACTCATCATATTAACTAAGCAGTCTTTTAATTACTCAAGACTCGTCCCCTGCTGAATCTGTATTCAACCATCTGGATTCCTTCATTACTAGCTGTTGTGTTGAACAGAGATGCTTTGTAACTCTAGAGTTCAGTGTCAGGGGCTGTGAAGGATAGAGTTGACTCTGAGAGGGCTGTGACATATTTTTGGCCAGGTCATTTTGCAGGTTCTGTGTGGGCGATGCAGGCTTTCTTTTGCCCCTTTGTGAACTCATTTTGGAAGTTTCTTTTGGTTGATTCCAACTCTGTAAAGGAAAAGCAGAGGGAATTCATGGAACATTTCAATATATCTTTGTATTTTTTTTCATTTTTGGTTCCATGTGTGCCTAGATTTAGCTTTAATAATCTATCAGCCTTACAGGATCTTCCTGATTGCTTTCAGATCAAACGCAGACTTCACTGCTCATTTTCTTGTTATTTCCTGGAGGTGGATTACAGTGCTCCATTCTGCCCTCAGGAACGGGGATTCTTTGCCTCCCTGTTGATCCTTCATACTTTCAGTGTTCATTTCAGGCTATACACATGCTTTTTCTTCAGAAAGAAAAAAAATCAATTTCCTCTGGGCTGAAGAGAGGCCAGCATATTTGCAATCCCCAATGTTACATTATACTTTTTAATAAAAGGATATTTCTGAGCTCTATAGACAGTACCCAGAACAACCACTTAATCAATTGCAGTGGCAAATCAGCATCAGCCGTAGCCATTCTCACTTTTCCCAGCTGTCACTAAGAAATGGATCTTCTGGAGCTGAAAACAGTGGTTCATATTTGTAATCCTAATCCTATTTGTAATCCAGAGGTAGAGCTTGGGAGGGTCAGTTCAAAGCAAGCCTGGGCAAAAAATGAGGCCCTCACCCAGCCAAGAAATATGATGGTGATTTCCTGAATTTGGGAGGCCTAGGTAGGCACATCATGGTCTGAGGCCAGCTTTAAACAAAGCCGAAACCCTATCCAAAAATAAAAATTAGCTGAGTGCTAGTGGCTCATGCCTGGAATCCTAGCTACTCAGGAGGCTGAGATCTGAGGATCACGGTTCAAAGCCAGCTCAGGCAGGAAAGTCCATGAGATTCATCTCCAATTAACCACCATAAAGCTGAAAGTGGTACTGTGGCTTAAGTCGTGAACACTTGCCTTAAGCTGAAGAACTGAGGGACAGTGCCCAAGCCCAGAGTTCAAGCCCTATGACTGACAAAAAAATTAATGAATTAAAATTAAAAAAACTCAAACAAGGAAGTGCTGGGCCATGAATTAAGTGGTACAATGCCCACTGTAAGAACAAGACCCTGAGTTCAAACCACAGTACTGTAAAAATAAATAAATAAACCAACTTGGTGTCTTCTTATTGGTTGATGTCATTCCTTTCTTGGCTCTGCAGGCATCCAGATGTACCTTTGCAACAGAGAGCACTATGGTTACCTGCCCATCCCTCTGAAGCCTCAACAGACCCTGCAAGAAGAAGTTGAGACCCTCATCCATGTGCAGATAGAAGCAATGAGTGAGTGACCATGCAGGCAGGGTGATGGTGCTGTTCATTGACAAAGTGACTAGACCAGTCTGATCATGCCTCATGGAGGCCCAGTATCTCCTGGCTCTCAGCCTTGGCTGAAACAGCTATTCCGCTCTCCATTCATTCTCCAGCTTCCCCTGTGTGACATACAAATATGACAAGTCGGAGCTTCCTGTCCTGGGGGACACTGGGTACACAACACCCTGAAAACAAGGCAATAAGTTCTATAATAGTGTATTGTTGGCATGAACTTAATTCTTAACTTGGTAATTATGTAACCATTAACACATATATATGTTTATATATATGCCTATACTATTTATGTGTCCATATATGTGACATATTATTATACATTATAATATATTATCTAATATATTATAATATATAATTATAATATATTATAATATATAACATGTAATATTTTATATAGCATAGACATATATATGGTCAACACAACAATTACTATTATGACTCCCTTTAACAGAGTTTATGATATCATAGACATCGTACCAACCACTTTTTGTTCCTTATATCATGAATATTCTCTACAACCCAGTGAACCCATAATAATAAAAATGAAGAAATTGAGGTGCAGAGACCCCAAGTAATGAGATCATTATACTAAGCACATGGCAGGTTGAAATTCGAACCAGTCTCACTGTCTGCAAATCTCATGTCCTTGAAGATTGTATTGTCACTGTTCTGGGTCTAGCATGCTGTAGGAATGCCTTAGTATTCTGCAGCTGAATGTATTGTGCACTTTTAAGACATAATGAGGCCAAAGGAGAAAGGAACTGATCCACCTAGCCCAGGGGAAGCTGGTGGCAATGGCTCTCCTAGGAGAGAGCGTTTTCTGTGACTCATCACTAGAGGTAGGATGTACACATGAGCAATGGAGCTGGTGGAGGCAAAGTAAGAAATGGGACTGGAAAGTAGGCAGGACTCCAGGTGGGATGATCTCTGATGATTTACAAAGTGTTTGGACTTTTTCTGAAGGGAGGAACATGGAAATGTTAGGCTGGAATTTGAACTTAAGAAAGTTGCTGTAGAGTAAGAAAAGCAATGATGTAGTGTGGGTACTCAGTGAGTGCTGATCTTGGCTAGATATGAAAAGGCCATTTGGGACATGGCATGGCAAAGTAGACAGAAGACCATAGGAATCTGAACTGGAACGGGAGCCATGGAGAGAAGGGGAGGGGAGAGAGAGACTAAGGAGAGGTTGGGGAAGGCTCAGCAAGAGCTGGCTGTAGCTGGATGAGCAAAAGACAAGCATGGAGAAAAACTCCCAGTTCTTGCTAGAGAGTCTGGGATGACTAGGCATTTTCAATGGAATAAGCCACTTAAAAGAGAGGTTTGAAAGTTGCCTGTCTATTTTCCACTGTTTCCTCCAGACTGTAAATCCTTTTTCATGTCAGTCTCAGGGTCTGGCACTTGCTCATCAACTAGTAGACATGCAGAAAGTATTTGCTGATAATTGAGTGGATGAAGAATGAATGAATAAATGACTGAATGCTACCATAAGTATTAGTTCACATTGACAAAATTTCTGGGGCCAGCTCTTCAGAATCTCTTCTGTGAGGTGTTGTTGTTGTTTTTGGTCAGTCGTGGGGCCTGAACTCTGGGCCTGGGTGTTGTCCCTCAGCTCTTCAGCTCAAGGCTAGCGCTCTACCATTTGAGCCACAGAGCCACTTTAGGCTTTTTTTCTGCTTGTATGGTGCTGAGGAATCAAACCCAGGGCCTCATGCATGCAAGGCAAGAACTCTACCACTGAGCCACCTTCCCAGCCCCTCTTCTGTGAGTTTTTAAGAATCTCTTTTGTGATTTTTTTCTGCTCCTTTTTAGATGACCTTCTAGGTCTTAGAGGACAAGGTTGTTACCTTAATGTCCATGTCCCAAAACCTACCACAGTGCCTAGTATGTGACTAGTACCAAGAAAATACTAGCTGAATTCATGGCAGACAAGTGAATGAATAAATGAATGAATGAAAATGGTATTGTCAAGACCACTGAACCTAAAATCAGAATTACCAACTTTAACCCAGGCTCTGTCACTCATGAATGGAAAATCAATTTCTCAGAATTAGGACACTGACTTTGCAAGGTTGAGAGATGCCAATAAAGCAATATATATCAACTCCACAAGTTAAGGGAGTGTGGAAATTATAATTGGGGATTTCTCCTACAGTGATCTTCTTAGTGCTGAGTAAATGAACAATACAACCAGGTATAGCCAGCATCTAGGGCTTATCAGGCAAAGCCAGTAGGAAAGAAGTAGGAGTCTTTAAAAGGAAATGAAAGTTTATGAGAATCAGAGTGGTATGGAAATGAATGATAATCATAATTATCGCTTGTTAAAAACACAGTGTTAGCCGGGCGCTGGTGGCTCACGCCTGTAATCCTAGCTACTTAGGAGGCTGAGATCTTGAGGATCGTGGCTCAAAGCCAGCCCAGGCAAGAAAGTCCATGAAACTCTTATCTCCAATAAACCACTCAGAAAACTGGAAGTGGTGCTGTGGCTCTAGCGGTAGAGTGCTCACCTTGAGTTGAAGAGCTGAGGGACAGCATCCAGGCCCAGAGTTAAAGGCCCACAACTGACAAAAAAAAAAAAAACCCACAGTGCTCAATACTCTGTATATACTAACAATTCAGCACATTGGAAGCTGGACAGGAAATTTAGGTATGTGCTTCCCAAATGAAAAGTTAACAGGTGGCTAAATCTTATAAGGATGGTAGACATGAGAAAGTTAGAAGGTATGGGAAGGCTGGACTTGGAAATCCCAGCATGAAGCAACAGGACATTTCAGGTGCCTCTATTCTGTATCACTCTTTTTGTGAGTTTGTACCTGTAGGAAGGGGCATGGTACTGGCTTTTGAATGGCCTCACATTTGATAGGAAGTTGAGCCCTGCTCCAATTCTTTTCTGCTCTGGCTATTTTTCATGTAGCATCTTGCTGTCTTCTCTTTAGCCAGCCTGGCCCTCATTCCTCCTATTTACTTAGATGACATGAGTAGTGCATGCCACCACCCCTCATTTGTTTTGTTAAGGTGGGGCAGGTCTCTCAAACTTTTTTCAGGTCTGGCCCCAAAGCATGACCCTCCCGATCTCCACCCCCATAGTAACTGGGATTACAGGTATGAGCTCCTGGCCTAGTATCAGCCTTTGGAAGCAATGGATCACCACGAGAGATTACTAAAACCAGATTACTAAGATACAATAGTATCTGAGGTCAGAAAGTCTAAAGCTGAGTTCCAACTCAGCTAATTCCTCACTGACGTGGGGTACAGCCACATTGGGTAGACCTCAGTTTGCTTGCCTGTGCAAACAAGCAAGTACAATGAAAAGTGAAGATAATGGCAGCTATTAAAACACTGAAATTGTAAGGCACTCAAGTGACTACAATGGCTGAGAACAGATCTGCAGTTGAAGAAGATTATTTTGACAAGCATGTGCATTCATAATGAACAGCCAAAACTGTATATTTTTATTTAAGTATATATTAAATATATACTACATATTTTAAAGATGTATTTATATATCTCCATAAAGGTGTATGTCATTTGCTGGGAAATAATTGAACTAGATGAGCCAAACTCAGAAATGCCAAATATGACATGTTTTCCCTCATTTGTAGAACTTAGACCTAAATGATATACATAGATATAAAAATACTTATACCTCTATACATAGAGAGAGAAGAAAAAATATGACTAACTATGGAATTGTTAGGGGGACTGGAAAGAAGGGAGAAAGGGAAAGAGAATGATGGAGGATTAATACTGTTGAAATACATGGCATCTGTAGATGAAAAAGCAGCAAAACTAAATTCAAAACTATTGACCAATAGGGATAGGTGGGCTGGGAAAAGAGAGGGCAGTAGAAGAGTTTATTCTGGTTATAAATGATAAAATATAGTGAAACCTGCCCAAATGATATTCGCTTAAAAAATGACAAGGAAGTAAAAGTAGGCTCTGCTGTGGGTATGGATACCAGAGGGAGGAGGGAAGGCAAATGGAGAGGAGTGAATGTGGACATATTCATACATCTAACATATTTGGTAGAAGGACTTTACATACATGTATAGGCACTTGATTACCCACGTCTGAGTGTCTGAGGTGGAGTGGAGCTGCCAGGGAGGGAGCGTATCCCCAGAGACTTCCCCATCCAGTGACTTCACTTCCGTTTTCATTTCCTCTGGCTGCTTCCAGTTTCCTCAGCGCCCCAAGGCTGCTAGCACACCGAGCAGGTCTTGCACTATTTCCCTGCAGCTCTTCTGCTGTCCCCTCAGCCCTGCCCCCACACTGAGACTCCAAACCCAGGACAGCTGGGCCAAGGAGTGTTCTGGGAGGAAACAGCTCCTCTGGATCCAGTACTGCTTTTCTGTAGACATTCAGCTACAGATTTAACTCTGAGCTGTGCTGCTAGGCAGTAGAGACCAGCGCAAAGCCAGCCAGTGTGTCCCCAGATCCCAGCACCTGTCCTGCTTGTTTGAGCATTGGCTTCCATGGTCAAGAGGGCCAAGCCCCACTCGTGGATGGTGACATCAAATCCAGTCCTCAAGCTGGGTGCTGGTGGCTTAGGCCTGTAATCCTAGCTACTCAAGAGGCTGAGAGCTGAGGGTTGGGGTTTGAAGCCAGCCCAGGCAGAAAAGTCCTTGAGGCTCTCACCTCAAATTACCAGAAAACTGGAAACGGCGCCGTGGCTCAAAATGGTAGAGTGCTAGCCTTGAGTGAAAGAGCTCACAGGACAACACCCAGACCTTGAGTTCAAGACCGTGACCGCTGAAAACAAAAACAAAAAACAGTCTGCCATTTCAGTGGGCCCTCGGCAGAAGTGGAGCTGTGTTGAGGGCAAGGATGGGGCGTAGTGGTAGAGCTTAGCATGCCTAACAGGTGTGAGGCTCTGGGTACACTCCCAGAAGCCCTTCTCCCACCAAAGAAAGAGATCCTGAGATCAGAGAGGCTATAAGACCACTGAACATGCTCTCAGACCCTTACTGGTACTCTCTTGCAGAGGAGATCAAAATGGGGTGCCATTTTGGGGGGGGGGTCCAGTCGTGGGGCCTGAACTCTGGGCCTGGGCGCTGTCCTTCAGCGCTTCAGCTCAAGGCTAGCGCTCTACCACTTGAGCCACAGAATCACTTCCAACTTTTTTTCTTTTTGCTTATGTGGTGCTGGGGAATCGAACCCAGGGCCTCATGCATGCAAGGCAAGCGCTCTACCACTGAGCCACCTTCCCAGCCTGGGTGCCTTTTCTAAAGCTAGTGCTTCTCCCCTTCTTTGCCTCACTCAGGCACCTGGACCTGTGTTAAATATCCTGGCATCTAGAGTTGTGCCGTCCATGTCTTCTAAGTCAGTGGCTGAGACCCCACAACTCCGCAAGCCAGTGGCTGTGACAGGTCGCAGAGGTAGAGTGCCGTGTGCAAACGAGTGGCTCACTTTGCCTTGTGGTGCTCGCACTGACCTCGTGTGCTAGCTCCCCACTACCGTGTGAGGACAGGGGTCCTTCCCTGCCTCCAGCTGTGGTGCTGAACTCATAGTACCACACCTCCACCTGCTGCGCCACCCGGGCACCTCCGCCCTGCCCTCGAGCAGCTGGGCCTCTGGGCAGTGAGCCAGGCAGGCTGTGAACGGCCTGTGGCCTGCGGGCAGTGTGCTGGCCTAGCCCATCTAGTGGATGATCCCAGGGCCTCGCACACTCCCTCATGGGCCTGTTCAGTGGCATGTTGGTAGTGGCCGGCTGCTGATGCTTGGTGGGAAGAGAAGTCACCGGATTGAGTCTGAGGTTTGTGGCCTTGAGTACAGCACGTAGCCTGGTCTGCAGAGCCTTGGGACATTTGGGTCTCCGGGCCCTAGGGCACTGCCATCCCTAAGTCTGTCCCTCACCCCTGCTGCCTCCCAGCATTTGCTGAAGGCAACGGATGTTTAAGAAGGCTGCGGGTCTGGCTGCCGCACTTCTGTCTTATAGATTGATGATCTCAAGCTGTTCTGCTGATGTCACTGTGCATCTGTGTTTGGGGAGAGAGTATAAGAGAATGGTTAATCCAGCAGGAGCTCATTACACCATGAATGATGAAGGGTAGGCGCCTGGCTTATCCCTGTTTGATTTGCTTGCTTCATTGAGGAAAACAAATGACCGTGTCACCCTACTGAGAATTTCACTTTCTCCTTGACGTACAAATAAACAGCCTCCCATGTTTCATTTATTTTTGCCTGGAATATTTGGTTTTTCAAAATACATTGTTTGGCTTTTTTCTTGGATTATGACCTTCATTACTGGATAGGGAAGGGAAGCCAGTAAAAGTGTGTGTGTGTGTGTGTGTGTGTGTGTGTGTGTGTGTGTGTGTGTGTGTGTAGTGTGTGTCAAGAAATGAAAGGCCCTTAATTACAAATGCTTATAAGAAACCACAGTCTGCTGGGAGTGGTGGTACACATCTGTAATCCCAGCACTCAGGAGGCGGAGGTAGGAAAGTGTCAAAGAGCAAGAGCGAGCAAGCGAGCGAGAAAGAGAGAGAGAGAGAGAGAGAAAGAAAGAGAGAGAGAGGGAAGGAAGAACAGATGATGAGAAGGAGGAAAGGAGAGAGGAAAGGAAGGAAGGAAATAAAAAAGAAAGGAAGAAAAGAAAGCTGACCCACCCCAGAATTTCACATCAGTTGGCATGAGTGAAAGTGGCCATGGTCTCTCTCTAGCACCCTAGTGAAGGGGCCACTGTACTGATCACGCTTTTCATACTGCGTCTCAGTTAGCTTGGGATCCCCAAACCTCCATGCTAGGATGCCTCTGTAGCTTACTTCTTTCTGCTGAGAGCCTACAGTCCTGGCATCTTTCCTGGACAACTTGCTCTCTATGTGTGCCAGCATCCCAGGCAGCTTCTAATGTGTGGCTTCTCCATAAGAGCAGATGCTGCTATGATCATTGCTGTGGGCCAGGGAGGCTTGGAAGGTGGGTCTGTAGAGTTGAGCAGCAGAAAAGTCTCTTGGCTAGACTGGGCATGGTGACTTCTGCCTGTAATCTCAGCTATTTGAGTGAGGGACGTAAGGAGGATGGATGCCCAAGGCATGAGAATGTATCTAAAAAGAAAAAAAAAAAGACAGACTAGAAGCAAAAAGACTGAAGCATGGCCTAAGTGGTAGACTGGCTGCCTAGTAAACATGAGGCCTAGAGTTCAGTTTCAAGTATTGTCTTAAAAAAGCATCTCACATGGCTATAACTAGCTTCATGTGCCTGAAATAGAAGGAAATAGAAATGGATAACAGTTGCAGTGATTATCATTGTCAATCCTATTAGCAACCTAATGATACTATGATCAACTCTCATTTTCCTTCATATTAAAGTACATTATATATATATATATATATATATACAGACACATATGTATGATATGTATATATATATGTTATTAAAAAACCCAATAAACATAAAAATAGCATAAGGAACCCTACTAAAAATGATTTTAAAGTAGGGAGGAGGAGAGAGGGTCAAGAGAGAATAAGAGAATAACAGTGAATTTGATCAAAAATTACATGATATGCATATATGCAAAAATCATAATGAAACTCCTTTGTACAATCAGTTTATGCTAATGATAATATTTTAGGTAAATTTCCACATTAGCCCTCTCAGGAAAATTACATCAGTACTTTGAGTTCCTACAAGACCACAGAACTTTCAAGGTCTTTCAACCTTATTGACTACATTATTTCCAATCATTGAAGTCTATAGTACATAAATGTTTTGGTCGAAGTGGGGTGAGAATGTTGAAGGCTGTAACAGTGACCACGATGCACCATATTCATAAACTGCTGTATTAAATACCAAAAAAGAGATGAAAGCACTTTTAAGAGGATCAAATCGATAAAATTTCTCATCACAATATCTCTCCACTTCGGATCCTCCATGGCCAGGGTATGGAACAAGAATTGCAGTGAACAAATGCTCCCAACAGCCAGGGCTCCAGTACCAGGGTTCCAGCATAGCCACGTAGTCCTGAAGACCTGCCTAGCAGCTCTCCTCTGCCCTGGAAGGCCTAGGTTGGGTTCCAGCCCTGAAGATCGGGCATGTGACTGGAACTCTGAATTCACTAACAAAGCCCTCTGTGTGCCTCTTGTGTCTTCCAGTTGACCGTCCTCCAATGGAACCTTCCCAATTTGTGTCACTCGTCCCTAAATATCCAGACAAGATGGGATTTGATGAGGTAGGAATGTGTGTGTGTGTGTGTGTGTGTGTGTGTGTGTGTGTGTGAGTGTAGCACATGCTTGTACATGTGAGCCCTGTAATTGTTGTATTGTGAAGAGTCTGTATTGAAGCACCATCCCAAGCATCTGATTGAAAACCAGCATCAAAGACATGGCTGCTGGAAAGGCTCTGAGATCTTGCTAAAAGTGCTTATTTGTTGTTTTGCCTGTATTCTGTCTTTGATGAGGAAGGTCCTGGAAACAGGTGTTAATCATTGCATCAGGACAAAAGGCGCTATTTCCTAGGGAAAGTGAATGTGCCCTGCTTTATCAAACTCTGTATTGAGATTCAAGGATAAGGGAAAGAAGATGTATGTTCTTTTTTTTTTTTTTTGGAGGACATTGGCTTTTATTTCTACCAGTGTAGAGTGAGCTGCTTTTTTTTTCTTTCTGCTGTACTTCCATTAAAAAAAAAGTTGGAAGAGGACAAAGGGAGAGATTTTTTTTTAAATATGTTTGAAAATTCTGCTTTCTACAGGCCAGAGCTTAGTAATAGCTTTACTAAGGACCAAATTAACTCTGCAGTTTTCATTGTATTGAGAATGAAGCACAGCCTGGAATGCAGCTCACTAATAAAGCACTTGCCAGGACCCTGGTGTCAAACCCTAGACACACAAAGACAAAGAGAGAAAAAGGAAAGAAAGGAATGAGGGAGGGAGGGAGGGAGGGAGGGAAACAAAGGAAAACCAGTGAAACAAGCATTGAAGAAGTGTTGTACACCAGAGCCTGCAGAGCCACGACTACAACTCACATCACTGATTCCTTCCTTGTGGTCTGGAGGTGTCCAGAAGTCTGCACACGGAGACACAACTCTCTCTGGACCTTGGGTAGGCAACAGTCCAGTATCATTGGTGCTCATTGCCACTGCTTAATGGAAGGAAAGCAGTAACTATAATACACATGGACTTGCACAAAATATAGCCATGAGAAGATGCTGATGCAACTCACACTGCTGTGGTGGCTCTCCTTTCCTGCAGCTTTCCAGTTCTCTAAACCAAAGGACCCATGTGTCCCATATATATACAGAGAGAGAGAGAGAGGGAGAGAGAGAGAGTGTGTATGTGTGTGTGTTAATAAAATGAGACAAAAACCAGGACCTTTTAGCCCTGGTCCTCTTTGGACGGGAGATGGTATAAGGCCTGAGTCACTTCCAGAGTCCTCCTGGAAAAAGCCAACTTTAGAAGACAACAGGTCCGGGGACTCTGCTTTGCTCAGTCCTTTTCTGGCACAGACATGAGACGGTGGAAAAGGGCTTTCAGAGGCCCTTTCAGTCCGGCCAGCCCTGTGACCTCGTTGGAGGTGTCTGGGCTGCTTTGGCTCTGCAGTTCCTTCCTCTGTTTACTGTTCACTGGGTATGAGCGAGCTGTGCTGTCTGTGTTTTTCCTTCGTGGCTACCGATTTTATTGCCCTTGTCTTAGCGGAACTGTTATTTACTAAAAGCCTCCCGGAATGGAGGTCTCTGGTTTGAGGGGACCTTGGGGATTCGTTTTTGCTCATGTTTTACTTTGTTTGGTTTCTGTTATCCTGGAGTGACCCCAGGTGGCTCTGTGCTTAAGCATTCTACATCTGTAAGCCGGTGGAGGGGGTGGGGGAGGGGGTGGTGGTGGTGGTATGGAATAGGCCTGTGACAAGAGGATTCTAAACAGGGAGAAAAATGGGACACAAAAGAGGAACTCATTACATTATAAAGGCCCAAGAAATAGGCAAATAGAGTCACCACAGATTTTAAAAAATTATTTAGTTAAGCTGGGCACTGGTGGCTCACGCTTTTAATCTTAGCTACTCAAAAGGCTGAGATCTGGTGATCAAGATTTAAAGCCAGTCCCAGTAGGAAAGTTGGTGAGACTCTTACCTCCCATTAACCAGCAGAAAACTGAAAATGGAGCTGTGGTTCAAAGTAGCAGAGTGCCATCCTTGAGCAAACAGAGTCCAGGGTCAGCTTCCAGGTCCTCAGTTCAAGCCCATGACAGACAAAAATTACTATTATTATTATTATTATATATTATTATTATTATAGTTAAGTAAACAAAAGAGGCAATGAAATCCTGATATACTTAACCTGATTTCCCATCTATCAGAAAGATCATCTCCAAAGACACCTTCCACCTATCAGTTTCTTCTCTGAGAGATTTAGAAATAAACAGAAGTGAGAAGGTTTCACAGGGGGATTGAAATTTTAGTTCACGTAGCTCTTGATCCTACTAAAACACATATTTCTTATGACATTCAAAAAGACCTTTGAACCAAAGTATAATGCAGAATAGCCTGAAATCCAGACTGGCAATAAGACAAAGTTTCGTCTTTATTCTGCTCATAGCATAAAGCAAAGTTTATTTATATACCACACACACAGTGTTGGATTTGAGAGATGAGTTTTATAGATGAGAGAAGGGAAGCAAGAAATTGTAAATGTCTTGCTCAAAGTCGTCCATATGTTTAGTCAGGACCAAGTCAATGCCTGCTGACTTTTCTTGTAGGATTTTCCTTCTTCATACTCAGGCCATCAGCATTTCTTGCTGGCAGTTAACGTGTCCCAATCTTGGAGACTATGGTGGTCTTGTGATCTTTGTATGTGCACCTGGCCCCCAAGGGAAAAATCTGAATTCATATTCTTCCCTCTACAGCATTTCCCACAGAACTACAACTACACAATGCTGAAATTATGTCTTTCCATTTCTTTCTTCTTTACCAAAGAGTTATGCCCCAGAACAAGGAACATTGTCTTCACCTCTTTCTCTTGTCTCTCTAAAGGAGTTGAAGAATTCTGACAAAGAAGCTTCTAAAGTTGAAAGCTCTTGGAAGCTCTGGAAATAAAAACATTTATTCTTTGAATGCCTTTACTTTTATCTGCTGGATGTAAATGATAAATTGATATGCAGTAGTTAGGCAATGACTATTCTTATCTCAGATTCACAAATAATGAAACCAAGACATAAGAACTAGTCCAAAGCAGACAAGTTAAAAAGGGCAATAGTCAGGACTTAAAACTCAATTCGGGCCAGGTGTTAGTGACTCGGTTTGCCTGTAATCCTAACTAATCTAGAGGATCAAAAGATTCAAAGCCAGTCCAGGTAGAAAATCTGTAAAACTCCATCTCCAATCACCAGTACAATATTGCACTGAAAGCATGGCAAGGTATGAGCAAGCAAATCAAGCAAGAGCTCAAGGTCCTAACTAAATTCAAGCCCTGGTATCAACACAAAAAGCAAAACTAAATAAAAGTCAATTGGCTAGGCACTAATGTTCATGCCACTGAGCTACTTGGGAGACTGAGATCCAGAAGATCAAGATTCAGTGCCATGCCTAGCAGAAAAGTCTGCGAGACTCCATCCCCCAAAATAGAAAAATAACTTACAAAAAGCTAGAAGTGTTAGTGGACAAGCAAGCAAGCTGAGCAAGTAAACAGAGCAAATACAAAGCCCTGGTTTCAAACTGGGGGAAAAAAGCCCTTAACTTTTGATAATAAAATTAATCACTTGAGCAGGTTGCTGGTGGCATCTGCACTTAATCCTAGCTACTCAGGAGGCGGAGATCTGAGAAATGCAGCTCAAAGCCAAGCCAGGCAGGGAAGTCCATGAGACCCTTATCTCCAATTAACCACCAAAAAGCCAGAAGTGGATCTGTGGCTCAATAAGAATACCAGCATTAAGAAAATAATCTGCAGGGCACTGGTGGCTCACACCTGTAATCCTAGCTACTCAGGAGGCTGAGACCTGAGGATTGAGGTTCAAAGCCAGCCCAGAAAGCCAGCAGGAAAGGGTGTGAGATGCTTCTCTCCAATAAACCAACAGAAAACTGGAAGTGGCGCTGTAGCTCAAGTGGTAGAGTACTTGCCTTGAGCTGATAGAGCTGAGGGACAGTGCACAGGCCCACAGTTCAAGCCCCACAACTGACAGAATAATAATAATAATAATCTAAGAGATAATGCCTAAGTCTTGGGAGCACACATGCTCACACACACACACACACACACACACACACACACATTAGCCATTTGGCAATTGTCTCCTTCCTCTTAGTGCTGTATGTTTAGTTCACCTTTAGCTTCTTGATGAGTAACTTTTTGAACTTTGTTTTGCAAAAGTAGGGAGAGCATCTTCTTCAGTAAGTATCAGAGTAACCAAGGTAGGGGTAGGTCTTACAGATGCTGCTGTTTTGAAAATAGTTCAATTTGGATAAATCCCATACTCACTCTCACCACAGTTTTTCCTGTCATTTCTCATCCTTAGCTGACCAATAACTTTGATCCTGACACACACTAAACTTTTCAGACTTCCTAGAATAAGATGTGAGTGCCTTGTGTTTCTCTCTCTCCTTGGCTTCCTGCGTTAGATTTTCATGATCAACCTGAAACGCAGGAAGGACAGGCGGGACCGGATGCTGCGCACACTGTACGAGCAGGAGATCGAGGTCAAGATTGTGGAGGCGGTGGATGGGAAGTGAGTAAGGGTCCTCCTCCCCGGTGGATGTGGCTGGAGTGGGAGGTGCCTAGCAGATGGTGGGTCCTGGATGAGAATCCACATCCCTAGTCATTACAGGACAGTCTCTAATTGTAGCCTTAAAGTTAGCTCTACCCTGGAATAGGCCTGAGGTAACTCCCTGTCCAGTGATCTTTGGTTCTCATTAAACTCAAAATGCCTGATGGACATGCTTGGTCCCTTCTTGCAACAGTTGCGGTGTTTCCATCCTCTGTGGTGTAAACAAAGGAATGTGTTATAGGAAGATGAACAGAAGAAGGATATCAGGGTCTCAGTGTCCTCCTTACTGAGATCCCTGCCATCTGCCAGGGTTGATCACACTGGTTGAGCATTTCCTAGTCATGGGGCTAGGGGAAAAAATCACTCAGGGAACCTGATAGGATTCTTAGGGGTGGTGGGGGGGAGAGCGGGGGGAGGGAAGGGGGTTTGCTGTCATTCCTATTTTGTCAATACTGACTTGCTTTGCCCTTGAATTTGGCACTCTAAACTATTTCAAGGAATGGATTCTTACAAAACATGCATTTCCATGTTATACCTTCGTTCAAAGTAAGAGTGATTTTGTTGTTTTTTTAATGTTATTTATAAACTAATTTGTGTGGCAAGTAGCCACTGAAGTTCTTAAGACTGGAGAATGGTATCTGGGAACACAGTAAATCAGCAGGGGTGGCTAAGTCACAGCTTCCTGAATCTCAGCTCTGACTCACTGAACCATGATTTCTGGGCTGGGCCCAGGAAATGCATCTAAGAAGGGATGGTAGGGGAAAAACAAAGGAGGAAGCAACAATGCTTGATAAGAAATGTACTCATTACCTTGCTCATGAAACTGTAACACCTCTGTACAGTATTTTCACAATTAAAAATGTATTAAAAATGTTATGCCAAGGTCACAGGACCCCCCCATAAGAAGACCACTGAGAGTCAGACTCTACAGCTGTTTTATTTAAACGGGCTGCAGCTCGGGCCTCGTCCTACACTCTGACACAGCTGAGCCCAGGAGGAGAGCCCCGAGCTAAGGATTTGCAGGTCTTATATAAGCACACAATCAACCAGGTGTTTTGATTATCACCACGTGTTGCTTTGCTAGACAGAAACAAGCAACACGTGGTCACTGCCTCAAACTTTAACCTTTCAAAAATAACAAATAAATAAAAGAAGCTTCACAGTGATTCTTAGGTACTATGTAAACTATGTATAGTATGAAGTTTTCTGCTTCATAATTTTGCTATACCTTTTTATTTATTTCAATTTTCTTTTATTAAATTTTTTTGTGAAATACTCTACAGAGGGGTTACAATTACATAGGCAAGATAATGAGTACATTTCTTATCAAGCAGTATAGCCTCCTCCTTTTGTTTCCCTTTCCCATCCCTTCCCATCCTCCCCCTGCCCCCCACTCAGTCTTCCTCCCCCTCCCACCAAAGTTGTAAAGTTTGTGTTTCCACATAACAACTTGTACATCTCATTGTTGCAATGGGTCCACCTGTATCCCTATTTAAACGATTTGTGTTTTCCCTTCCCCTCCACAAATTATACCAACCTCAAATACAGTGAAAGCAGGGGTTATACCATGGGGGAGGGACATAAAAAGCAACAAAGAAATAATCTTATAAATGTGTTAGAAACAATCACCTGAAAGAAAAAAAACATTTGAATACATATCTTAGGGTTCATTTCCTTAACATCAACTTATCTGACCTTTTCTGCTTGACTCAGACATATACTAGTTATTGCAAATAAGGGAAACCATGGGACCTAAGTTTCTTTGGGCCTGGCTTACTTTGATGACATTTTGTGGCTTTTAGTTTGTAAGTTCTGCATTTATTTGGTTGAATTTATTCCTAAGTCTTTTTTGATGCTATAGTCATGGATAATATCCTTAATTTTATTTTCTCAGTGTTGATTGCTAAATGTATAGCAACAAAATGGAGTTTGGGTTTTATATATTAATTGTGCATCCTGTAATCTTGATGAATTGTTACCAGTTCTAATAGTGTGTTTAAGTTCCTTTGCTTTTATGAAGGCAAGACATTATCCTTTGCAATTAGAGATAACATTACTTGTTCTTGTCTGATTCCTGATCTCAAGGGAAACCATGTGCTTTCCTTACTAGTAAGTATAATATCAGTTTTGAGGGTTTTAGTAGTGGCTTTTATAGAGTTGAAGAAATTCCCTTTGATTCCTATTTTGTTGAGTAGTTTTCATCATGAAAGGATACTGGACTTTGTTGAGTGTTTTTCCTGTACCTATTGCGTTAATTTTGGTCTTTTTGTCTATCAATATAATGTATTACTTTAATCGATCTTCACATGTCAAACCAAAAAATTCCTTTGGTCAGACTGTATATAGTCCCTTGTGTGTGTTGCTGGACCTATTTACCTGTTATATCCTTGATTTTATACCAAAATAACATTGGCTTCATAGAACCAGTCAGAATATGCTCCCTCCTGCTCTGTTGTTTGAAAGAATTTGTTAGGGATTAGTATTAATTCTTTAAATATTTGCTAGTTCTCTAGTAAAGCCTTCTGGTTCTTTATTACTATCTCAACTTCTTTACTTGTTATACACATTCTGAATTTGTTTTTGTATCCTTGTATCAGTTTGTCCATCATCTCAATTATCTGACTTTGTTCATAAAATAACCTTTTTTCTTCTGTAAGGTCAGTGGAGATGTCTTCTTTCATTTCTAATTTTAGCAATTTCATCCTGTTCTCCTTTTTTATCAGTCTAGGTAAAAGATTTTCAATTTAGTTGATCTCAAATAACCATTTCTTTGTTTTTATTGATAGTCTTTATTGTTTTTCCTATTCTCCAGGAGTAATTTTATTTGTAGTATATTTTAGTCTATTTCCTTCAGTCTAATAGCTTTGACTTTAGTTTGCTTTTACTAGTTTCTTGAGATGTTTGTTAGATTATTCATTTGAGATAATCTTTTAATATGGCCATTTGTAGCTATAATTACACTTGTAGCTACTATAGTAGTTATGTGAACCATAAGTTTACTATTCTTGTTTTTATTTATTCAAATTATTTTCTGTACTCCTTTCTAATTTCTTTAACTCATTGAATACATAGGAGTGTATTATTTCACAGATTTTGAATGTCTCATCTTTTCTTTGTTATTGATTTTAAATTTCATTCTATTTTTCTTGGGAAATATTCTTTGTATAATTTTAATTGCTCAGTGGCTTGATTTATGGTCTTTATGTTCTAACATATGGTCTTCCTTAGAGAATGCGCCAAGTGCACTTAAAAGAATGCTTATTTTTCGATTGAATGGAGTGTTCTACAGATGTTAGGTTGTTAGGAGTAGTTGGTTTACAATGTTATTGAAATCTCCTTTACCTTGTTGTTTTTCTCTCTAGTTGTCCTATTCATTACTAAACTCTCCCACTATTATGCTATCTTTTCATCAGTCAGGACTTGAACCCAAGGCCTCATAGTTGCTCAGCTTGCTCGCAATTGGTGTTTTATTACTTGAGCCATGCCTCCAGACCAGATTTTTTCTGGTTGATTGAAGATGAAGTCTCATGCACTTTTCTGTCCAGGCTGGCTTCAAACAGCAATCCTCTGGATCCCAGCCTCCTAGATACACTATTATTCTTGAATTGTCTATGACTCCTTTAAATTCTGGTCACCTTTGCTTTATGTTTTTTTTTTTTTTTTGCCAGTCATGGGGCCTGAGCTCTGGGCCTGGGTGCTGTCCCTCAGCTCTTCAGCTCAAGGCTAGCACTCTACCACTTGAGCCACAGCGCCACTTCTGGCTTTTTCTGCTTATGTGGTGCTGAGGAATCGAACCCAGGGCCTCATGCATGCAAGGCAAGCACTCTACCACTGAGCCACCTTCCCAGCCCTGCTTTATGTTTTTTGGGTTCTGTTGTTATGGGCATTGTTATCATTTTATCTTCCTAATGGATTTTTATCGTTCTGTCTGTAGTATAAATTTGCTAAAGAGTTTTCTTTTGTCTGCTATTAATATAGCTCCTTTAGCTGTCTTGTGATTACAGTTTATGGAATATATCTTTCCCATCATTTTAGCTCTGTGTGTGAGTGTGCATGCCAGTACTAGGGCTTGAACTCAAGGCCTGGGCTCTGTCCTTGAGCTGTTATGCTCAAGACTAGCATTCCACCACTTGAGCCACAGCTCTATTTCCAGCTTTTTGGTGGTTAACTGGAGATAAGAATCCACAGGCTTTTCTGCCCAGGCTGGCTTCAAATCATGATCCTCAAACCTCAGCGTTCTGAGTAGCTAGGATTACAGGTGTAAACCACTGTGCCTTGCTATGGTTTGGTATTTTAATTTTGCCAAGCTTTGGCATTGATTGCACTGTTTAATCTATTCACATTCACTACCTTTTCCCCAGATCCTAAAGGTCAGTCAGGTAAAAAGTTAGGGTCTTTTCAGGTCTTTCTGAAGAGGATCACATACCTAGACCTTCTAGATTTTCAGGAATATGGTTCTTTCCTTTGTTTTGACCAAACTCTCATTAGCTTTCACATTTAATGCTGCTCAGATAGCTGTAGTGTTAAACAGTGGCTACTAATGTTCATTGACATTAGAGAAGACTGTTTATAGACTCTGAACCCCAAGCAAATAAAGCCAGACACTGAGAATGGAGCTTCTCAGGGGCTTCCAATGAGCTTAAACAAGGACTACTTCCTCAGGACTGGTGCTTTGGAGAATCCTCATCCACCTTGTTACTTCTGGTGGCTACAGCTGGTAGCAGCTAGGTTCAAGGTTTTAGCTGGGCTGGGGAGAAAGCAAAGCTTAGCACAAATGTGTACTGGGCTTAGAGATTGAGTAAGCCTTTCATTCATTTCTATAGCTCTGTATTGGGACAATGTTCACCAATGGCCTCAGTACTTTTAATACTCTACCATTCTGAAAATGGGTTTTATTACTTTTATTTTTAAGATGTTTTAATTTTAGATCTAAAGAAAAAGCATGCATACACACACACACACACACACACACACACACACAAGCACAACTTCAGTTTCTCTTCTCATTTCTTCTTGTCTTCAGCCCTTCCAGCATTTACTGCTCCTCTGAACTACCTTCTCATCATTAGGACAGTACTCTTTCAAAGATTTCTAGAAATCCTTGGCACTTAGAACAGAATGCCTTCACTCTGACAGACGTGGCAAACTAAAAGACACCATCTTATCTTCACAAAGCCTATAACACTACTATCATACGTTAGTCAGGAGGAACGCATAAAGAATAATGGGAGACAGAAAAGTCTTTCTAGATGTAGAGGTTCTGAGGACATGTGCAAACTCTCCCTCCCTTCTGTCATGAGGACACGACGTGGAAAACTTCAGACATGCTCTCTGTCGCGCAGGGCACTCAACACAAGCCAGCTGAAGGCCTTGAACATTGAAATGCTGCCAGGCTATCGAGATCCCTACTCCTCCAGGCCTTTGACCAGGGGTGAAATTGGCTGCTTCCTTAGTCACTACTCTATCTGGAAAGAGGTAAACCATGTTTTATTTAGAGGGAAGTTTTGTAATGAAGAGAGAGCGGAGTGGGACTTTGCAGATGAATGAAGACCAGATGCCCGTGACTGTTCTGAAAATAGCCTTGACAGTTTCTCCTGCCTGTGTCTCCCTCAGGCTAGCAGCTAACAGACAACAAGGGCAGCCTTGGTGTGACTGGGGCTGAAGACGGGGTGATATTCAGACCTTAGAACCCTCGCTTGTGTTAGTTCATTGCCATCATCCACAGCAAGGTCTTGTATCACCTTATGCTATCATGTTATCAGTTATTAGGTGATTTCAGGCAAGAAGTCACACAAAAGTCTTATGAATGAGTTGGAAGGAATGGATTCCTTCCACCCAAGAGAAAATTATAACGTGCCTTGTCCAGGTAACATGAGATAGAGAAATCGACTCCATATCTTACAGATCAAAGCCTTGATGGCAGTCGTATTGGAAATGGGGTTCCTGAGTAAGAGACAGCTTCCACAAGAAATGGAAAACTTCTAGGGCTGGGAAGGTGGCTCTGTGGTAGAGTGCTTGCCTTGCATGCATGAGGCCCTGGGTTCGATTCCTCAGCACCACATAAGCAGAAAAAGCCAGAAGTGGTGCCATGGCTCAAGTGGTAGAGTGCTAGCCTTGAGCTGAAGAGCTGAAGGACAGCGCCCAGGCCCAGAGGTCAGGCCCCATGACCGGCAAAAACAAAAACAAGAGAAGTGAAAAACTTCTAAAGACCTTTGAATATCTTTTTGCATTTAATAATCCATGTTATGCTTATCTTTTATTTAAATGAAATATGAGATTGATAGATCAACTGATAGATAGATCATAAAATACAGTCCAGACAACTCTCATAAAATGAATAATACACCCATGTTAATCAACATCTGGATCAAGAAACAGGTAACCAGCACCCTAAAGGTTCCCTCTCTGAGCTTCCTTCTAGTCATAAGTTTTCATGGTCTTGATCTCTAAAAGCATGAAATAATGGCTTTGCCTATTTTTGGACTTTCTTTTCTACAAATGGAACCTCAGGGCATCTGCACCCTCTGAGTATTATATTTGGAAGATTAACTTACCACCTTGCCTCACGGCAAGCATCTGTTTAGTTGTAGACCATGCCTTCTCCCTGTTGTAAATATACCATAGTTTATCCATTGTGCTTAGACTTTTGCTTAGATATTTGCTTAGATTCCAATCATGAACTATTATGAACTCTGCTACCATATTCTTGATTTCCCTATATTTATCTACTAAATAATATTTTGGCTATAGCCTCTGTATATCACCTTTTAATAACAATTTTTGAAAGTAAAAAATGGCTATTGAACTTTTCAGAGCATATCTTCCCACTGGTGACCTTTGCAGGTAATCGATCGAGAACTGGAGAAGACTCTTGTTATTGAAGATGATGTGCGTTTTGAGCATCAGTTTAAGAAGAAGCTGATGAAACTGATGGATGACATTGACCGAGCTCAGCTGGACTGGGAACTCATGTGAGTGACAAAAAAAAAAAAGAGCAAGGCTCTCTGACTTATCCAGGGACAGAAAGCTCCATTTCCCCAGCTGGTAGGAGATGTAGCTCAAGTTTCCTTCCACATACCTGGTTTCACACCATAAATGTGTCTAAACACAAAGGGATAAATAATCACACACACACACACACACACACAAAATGGGTACTAGTGCTCATACCTGTAATCCTAGCTACTCAGGAGGCTGAGATCTGAGGATTGCAGTTCAAAGCCAGCCTGAGCAGGAAAGTCTGTGAGACTCTTATCTCTGATTAACTACCTGAAAACTGGGAGTGGCGCTGTGGCTCAAAGTGGTAGAGTGCTAGCCTTGAGCAAAAGGACAGGGACAGCACCCAGACCCTGAGCTCAAGTCCCACGACAGGCCAAAAAAGTACATTTGTTTTTGGACAGACAGTGTCAATCCTTCCCTTGCTCTTGCTTTGTATTTTGTTTCATTTCCTTCCCTCTTCTTTCCTTCCTTCCTTCCTTTCTTTTCTTTCTCTCTTCCTTCCTTTCATTCTCTTTCTTTCTTTCTTGTGTCTTTCCTTCCTTTCTTCCTTCCTTCCCCCCTCCTTCACTTCTCTTTTCTCTTTATCTTCCTTTCCCTCCCTTTTTCTCTTCTTCTTTCCTCTTTCTTTCTTTTGAAAACAGAACAACACTTTCCTTCTAGCTCTCTCCAAAGAGGCACAGAGTTCTGAACCGTTTTTTTTTCACTCCCCAGCTGTGTGTCAAAGGCAATTGTGTTAAATCAGAGCAGCTCCTCTGGAGCAGCTGCAGCCGCCCAGCCTTGCCTGCCCCTCCCCTCCCCGGAGGGAAAGGTCAGCAATGGACCCAGAAGGGATACTTCTTCTCTCAGAAAATCCACTGCGCAGAGCTCAAAAGAAATCTAGCAATACCTCTGTTTTCACTGTATTTGATGTTGGTATAATTTGGGGAGGGGAAGGGAAAGAACAAAATGATTAAACAGGGATACCGGTGGACCCATTGCAACAATGAGATGTACAAGACACTATGTTGTAAAATGAACTTTCCAATTTAGGTTGGGGGGTGTGGAGTGGAGATGGGAGGGAAGAGATGGTAGAGGAAAAACAAAGAGGGAGGCAACAATGCTGGATAAGAGATGTACTCATGACCTTGCTCATGCAACTGTAACCCCTCTGTACAATAGGAAATGTACTCATGACCTTGCTCATGTGACTGTAACCCCTCTGTACACTATTTTCACCAATAAAAAAACTTATTATAAAAAGAAACCTAGCAAGAGCCCAACCAATTCCTAAGAAACTGACCTCCAACTCAGTACAACATACAAACGCGTCCCCCACCCCTGCCTGTAATTGCTTGTGGTACTCTGCACAGCTGGCCATGCTTCCCCATCCTCCAGAATCACTGCCCTGCCGACCTTCTGCATGGATGGACGGCTCTGCAGTCTGTGCTTGAGGTCTCCCAGGCATGCAGCCTGGATGCATTTTTATGCCCATGGGACATGTGTAATCAAGGAAGCCTATGCAGATAGTCTGGCTGGTATATTTCTTAGGACAAAATAGAACAGATCAGAGAAGCAATGATGATTGTCCTACCAAGGATATGGGGTAGGGTATTCTAAATTTCATAGCTTGGCCTAGTTAGCCTATTCCATTTAAACTCATTATATACTCTTAAAAACTGTACAATAGAGTTTCAGTGTTTGCCTATCTTTTTCTACAATGAAGAATAAATATATATGACTTAAACTCATAACTTAAAAGTTGATAACAATCCATAATAGGTACTCTAAATCTTTCCAGAATAAGGAAATAGTAAATGGAAAGAAGTTGTTGGAACCATCCTGGGAGAGTTCTTCAATAGAAATAGAAAGCAAGTCACATACATCGTTTTCAGTTTTTTGCTTTTTGGTTTTGTTTTTAATTTTTAATGATCACACTAAAAAGATAAAAAAAAACTTAGGTGAAGGTAGTCTTAATAATACACTTTAGTTAATCTAATACATCCTAATATTATCCTAGGATTATTAAAATTATTTTTATTTAATGGGTTTAAGATATTAAATATTTTCATGTTTTTCAATCATTAAGGAAATGGTATCCTTTTTGGTACCAAGTCTTCAGCATCACAGAAAGAAAAATATATTTGGTTCATTTAAAACATTTTATTTTAATGAAAAAGCCTATATAGTCAATTCCTTAATCCCCTGAGCATATTTCAAATTCCCTTCCACTCCCTGACACTAGGGAAGTTCTGATCCTTAGTCTGAAAAGACAGTGGCTGAGAGGACATGTATTTGATGTCCTCAGAAGTATTGAAAATTGGACATCCATGTGCTCTGCAGATCTTGGGATGTCCTGACTGCAGAGAATCCCTTGAATGTTGAAAGAGATCATTCTGGCAAAATAGTCAACTCAACTCACTCTACTCAAGCCCAAACCAAACAGGCTGCAGACAAAAGTAATGGATCACAGAGCTATGAGTAGACTTGGAAGCTAGGAATGGCAGAAGGTAAATCCTGTATGGTTGAAGTTGTTCATGGAGGAGGGAGTGGATCTGAGTGCCTTCCTCAGAAGAAAGTGGTCTTGGCAGAACTAGAAGAGTGTGAGGGAGGAAAAGAACTTTTCAGAGTTGTCTTTCACACTCCCAGAAGGAGCCCTTTGGGAATGGCCTTTAATCCTCTACTATAGACTGCGCTTCTTTCCCACAGTCTTTTCTGTCCTCTGTTTGCCACCAACATTTGGAAAGCTGCACAGAGAACATCAGTGCAGAGGCTCTGGGGATGTGAAGACTAATTCAGGATTCCCACATCTGTCCTTTTATGTCTCGCAAAACTCTGTAAACACATCTGGAAATCCCATGCTATCTTTGTGAAATGATCCAACAGATCTTCTAATCTCTTCGCATCTTAACTTCCTGGCTTGAAGACAGTCCATGGGCAGGGCTGGCTGGATGTGAACTCATGTAGATAAGCAGAGTCAGGGAAGTGACTTGTGACGGCTGTAGCTGGAGATGGGAGGCACTTGGTGGTGTGGTCAGACATGGCCAGTGCAAGCTTTACAAGCTGGTCTGTACACAAAGGACATGTGTGTGCTCTTATATGCAGAAGCTAGCACTAATTTATATGTGTACAAGTAAATACACATGAGGTTGTATGCAAGTGTACACAAATGTTTTAACTGAAATATGGTATGTGCAGAAGAGACTTCAAATGGTATAATTCCTTAGAAAAACTAAGAGCCCAACAAAATGAATAGCAGGAAACTGACATTTGAAAAGTGTGGTGGGGAGGAGGTCTGAGGGAGGGGGATAGACAGATAAAGAGAGGAAGGGGGAACCGAGTCATAGTATTCAATGCATACCTTATGAAATAAGAAAATTGAGGGGAGGAGATGGGTTGGGAGAAATGGGGGAGAACGAGGTGAGGGGTGGCATTGATCAAGATGTATTGCATTTATAAACTAATTTGTTGAATTGTAACTCTTTTGTACGACTACTTAAAGATAATAAAAACTATATTTAAAGCTGTCTATACAAACCAAAGCTGTGCCCCGTTCTTACTCTATTCAACAGCCTAGTATTCAAGTTGGAACTATTCTCCTCTACCCATTTCTTTGTAGTTACATTGGTAGGAAGAGGTTGCAAGTGAAAGAGCCAGAGAAAGCAGTGCCCAATGTAGTCAACCTGGTTGAAGCTGACTATTCCTACTGGACCCTGGGCTACGTCATCTCTCTGGAAGGAGCGCAGAAGCTGGTTGGAGCTAATCCCTTTGGGAAGATGCTGCCAGTGGACGAGTTTCTGCCAATCATGTACAACAAGCATCCTGTGTGAGTCTCTCTCTGCTGCTACACAGTCCACTTATAATCATGCTTCTTGAGTAGAATCCAATATTATCTGAAGTCGTCCCAGTTTCCTAAAGGAGATGTCTATGATCATAACCAGGAGAGGATGACTCAAATGAATAACCCCATTAATAGCCCTTTTTAACACCCAATATGTAGGACCATCATCTACTTGGAACTATGCTTGTCTTGGCTCCTTTATTTCTATAATCTTGTACATGTGAAAGTGTAGTTTTTAAATTTTTTTTCAATGAATCCAGTTCAGCTCATGTGTGTACCATTGACTAGGCAGGAGTAGCTATCTTTTCAGACCTTACAATATGGTCAGGAACAAAGACTCATGACCAAATCTGAATGACATATTGTAATTCCTGCAGTCACAGAGATGTGGGGAGAGTTCAGGAGGTTGAGGGTGACCCCAAGCCACTTATCCATGGAACAAGGCATTATGAGGCTTACCGGGTATCTAGTATTCACCAAAAGGTATGTCAGGAGTCAGGAGATGCTTTCTGCTCTCCAGTATGCTATGAACCCTTTAAGAGCAGGAATGTTCTCACATCTCTGTTTCCTTTAGAGAGTAGACCAAATATTATACATAAATAGCTGCCCAAGCAGTGATTCCTAAACTTGTGAGTAAGGCAGACCAAGGTCTGACCTTGGCTCCTGCCCTTATTCCCTGAAACAGAAGGAAAACTAATACTTAAGAAGGACTTATTTTGCTCAACATGATTTGTTCTAGTTCCAACCATTTCCCTACAAATGCCATTCTTACTTCTTAATTTTCTTGATTTGTCACATCGTGTTTAGATGACTCCATGTTCTTGACACCATCTATGGGAGATAGATGCATGTGCAATCTGAGGGAAGCTAGAAGGAGGTCCCAGAAACAGAGGGAAATGGGTGAAAAAATACAGCGGAGGGGCCCATCAGCTGCACTGGACATTGATGATATGATAGGGAACTAAGCGCTCAAGGGCAGCTATGGGAGGGAAGGGGTGAGAGGGAAAGAGGGAACAGCCGACACTAAGCAAATCACCTGATTTGGAAGAAATAGTTGTATTGTCAATGTCTGTAGAGTTCATAAGCTTTGTAGACCATGATAATGACAATTCACCTTGTGAAGATTATAATGTGTTTGTGACTTTAGCTAAGTATCACTTTCCCACAATACTGTGACATTTAGGTAATCACTTAATCTCAATAAAGAAATTTTAAAAAAAAAAGAATGACTTACAAAGCCCAGTGTGAGGTCACCTCACATAACTGCACAGGAGCCCTGGAGGCATGGCCAGATTGTCCCCATATTTCACACTTGCAAGGAGCCAGGGTTTGTGCAAGAAGCTAGCATTCAGTTCCCAGCTGCTATATTCCTTAGCCCTTCACATCTCGCTTACCCGACAGCTGCAGTCCCGGATCTCAGACAGCTTCATTTCTTAATCCAGGAATCCAGTATTGTTTATAAAGTGATTGTGTTTATTTATCATCATGGTCCAACAGAAATTAATTTTCACCATTTGGAGTACAATCGGAAATTCATCCATTTCACTCTTCTAGTTAAATGCACAGAAATTTCCTGGCCTTTTTATCTATCTATTCATATGAACCTTTAAAAAGCTTTAGGGAAACCTTTATGGAATTTGCCTAATATTCCTCACAAAGACACACAAAGAAAAAACACGGAAGTGAATCCAGGCAGTTTCAGAGCTAAGCAACACCACAACCCTTCTATCCAGCCTCTCAGGCGCCTGTTTATTCTTGTTTTCAGAGCTGAGTACAAGGAGTATTATGAATCCAGGGACCTGAAAGCGTTCTCTGCCGAACCCTTGCTCATCTACCCCACCCACTACACAGGCCAACCTGGATATCTGAGTGACACAGAAACCTCTACCATCTGGGACAACGAGACAGTAGCTACTGACTGGGACAGAACACATTCCTGGAAGGCCCGGAAGCAGGGTCCCATCCACAGCAATGCCAAGAACACAGAAGCCTTGCCGCCACCAACTTCTCTGGACACAGCACCTTCAAGGGACGAGCTCTGAAAACCTCCTGGGAGAGGACCCACCTTGGTTCATCACTGTTCAGTGTCTCCACGGGGCTGTTCATCTGTTTGCTCCTGTTCTGTTGAGTGGTGTGGTCATCTAATCAGAGTGGTCGGATGTGAGTGAGCAAAATTAATGTATTTTTGACAGTGGAGGCAAATTGGGAAATTAGCCCCAAATTTCTCACAATAGCCAACAGATGGGTATTATGGGAACCATTAAGTTAAATTTTAGTCCAATCACCCAGTTCTTCTGCTAACTAGCCCTGATACAGGAAGCAACATGATTCAGTCTTGCATGAGATGGGGTCACCACGCCATCACATTGGTACCTAGGTAGTCATAGCACCCAAGACAACTGGACCACACTTCTTGGTCTTAATGGTCCTTTTTCCCATGACAGATGTGACCTTTTATAACTCTAAGCCAACTAGATTGCATTTATTGTCCAGTTGGCCTGTTGTATATGACCTTGAAAAATCTGTGTACAAGTTCTTCTTTTTATCTTTTAAATAAGTTAAAAAGTGAATTTTTTTAAATTCTTTATTTTTAAATTTATAACTTCCTGTCCATTAAGGATGGGTAACTGGCTGTGGTTGAGACTTGGCCTTTGCCAATCATGGGCAGCTGGAGTTCTTCTGAGAGGCATCCAGTGTGCCATGCAGATAGAATTTTGGTAGCTATTTGAGGGCTTATGTAGATACTTGAGAGAAAAAGAACTCAACCTTTGGCCTTGTGGCTTGTGGCCACTTGATTCAGGATGGGGTATTTATAAAGATAAGTGTAATTTATCCAGGGCCCGGGGGGGGGGGAGGGGGAGAGGTGTGCCCTGCCTAGTACAGCATCTCGCGCTCACTTTTCCCACCCCTTAGCCTGGGAATGAGCAGCAAGTGTGAGTTTTCTGAGTCAAAAGACAGAGCACATTTTCAGGCCAGCAACTGTCTGTGCCTGGGTTTTTCATTATATTTTGAATTATTTATTTTACAAAGTGTGAGGGAAAACATTGTCTGCTCTCTGAGGTAGAGAAACAGATGTGGCTAGTTTTCATGGCACCCCAGGGAGTGTCCCTCTAGCCACCTTGGTGCAATGACCCAAGTTTCCTGAATGTCCCAGCCTGTCTTTTGCAGGGAAGCTTGTTGCTTAAGGATTCTAGCCATTTGGAAGCAAACTAGTGTCCACTTTAAGGGGAAATAATGGACTGGACAACAGATCTAGACCAACAACCAGGAAAGTTCTTAGAGCCCAAATCCTGGGTTGGCACCTTCTCTCAAATGGTATCCCCCGCCAGGTGCTGGTGGCTCATGCCTGTAATTCTAGCTACTCAGGAGGCTGAGATCTGAGGACCAGGGTTCAAAGCCAGCCCAAGAAAAATCCATGAGATTTTTTTTATCTCTAATTAACCACCAGAAAACTGGAAGTGGTGCTGTGGCTCAAAGTGGTAGAGTGATAGCCTTGAGCAAACAAGAGCTCAGGGACAGCACCCAGGCCCAAAGTTCAAGCCCCACGACTGCCAAAAAGAAAAAGAAAGAAAGAAAAGAAAAAGGTATCCCCTGAAGCCAGATGTGGTGGCTCATACCTATAAGCTTAGCCACTTGGAGGAAGAGGGAGGGTAGAGATCAGGAAGCTAGTGACTGGAGGCCAACCTGGATAAAAAGTTAGTAAGACTCTTCCATCTTAACCAATAAAATCTGGTCATAGGGGTACATGGTTGTCAGCCAAGCTAGGCAGTAAGCACTAAGTAGGATTCTGATCCAGGCCAGCCTCGCCCAAACTGTAAGACTATACCTGGGGCAAAAGAATAACTAAACTAAAAAGGGCTTTGGAGAGTGACTCAATGGTAGAGGACCTCCCTACCACGTGTAAACCTCTGATTTCAAACCCAAGTACTGCCCAAGGAAAACAAAACAACAAAACAAGTAATGTTTCTGGAAATTCCTGTCTGCTTTCTTTGTAGATTAATTTGGTATAAAATGGAGAGTTGTACTAACTTCACAAACTGTCCAACTTCACAATGGAGCATCTTAGGGTGCCTGGTGATGGTCCACCTCAGCTGTCACCTTCCTTCCTGATTAGTGGTTGATCTCCACTGACCAATCAGCCAGTGAGGAAAGAGGTCTTGTCAAACTCCAGTTTTTACTGGCAGGACATAGCTATTGGAATATTAACTCCTCTTATCTAGAGAATCTTCTAGAGAATCAGGAAAAGCCTCCGAGGAGCCGGTATCAAATCCTTAGGTCACCACTAAGGTTTCCTTAAGTGTTTGCAAATTGAGTGTGTGCAAGTGTGTCTGGCCTTAATGATCTTTTTTAATGGGTGGGAGATGGCTGGGTGTTGGGAGTGAAAGAAGATTGACTTGATTTTTTTTGTGTTGTTTTGTTTCATAAAGAACTTCACTTGTCAGCTGGTCTGATGGGTTTTTAAAGTCTCCTTTCTGAAAAGACATTGGATTTAAATTCTAGAGTTGTAGACTAGGACTGTTCTACTGTGAATAAACTTCTGGCTCTGCTTGTCCAGCCTTTGTTCCTCCTTGCTCAGGGCTGATCTCCCCGTCTGGATTCCTCACACACGTGACCATGGCGAGGTGGGTGCTACTGTGAATGCCTTGAGCTCCTGAAGCGTGTTCCGGATCCTGCACACACAGGCCATGCGTCGATGCACTAGAGTGTGCTGCCGGAACATGAGGAAGAGAAAGGGTTGACATGTCTGCACCCTACTCTGTCTTATGGTGCAGTCTCAGGGCAGAGAAGTGACAAAACTACTTGTCTGCAGGAACTGGGGGGGGGGGATATTTAGAACTGAGGATTGCTCATTGGTTACTTGACATACTGGTCAAAATGGCTAGAGAAGCTGGGCCTTCCAGATTTGCACTAGACCAAGAGTGTCAGAGGCCAGAGAGGACCCTCACTGCTGTGAGATTCCCAGGGCAAATGAGACAGGGCACACCTACCATACCCAGATGGTGGGGGGTGCTGTGCAGCGGTAGGTACACAGTATGTACACTGTGTGTACAACCAGAAAGGATTCCAAGATGCAGAAAGAAGTCTTAAGGTAGCTGCCCATCCTGTACTTTGTGCTAACAGGTAAGTCTATCACGAAAGATAACTGAGATGCTTGTCCATGTTAGGAGCAAAAGCAAAGACAAAAAAAGATAATTCATGTTAGCCTCAACAATTGCTTCTCCAATATCTCAAAAACCACACGTAAGCATGGTCTTGCTTCAAGTCTTGTGCTGGGCACTGACTGCATAGGATGAAGTTCGGTCTCCACCTCTGCAGGCTCCACTGTCCACTCCAAGGGAGGATTCATGTGCCACATGGCTGAGGATAGCTGTAGCTCAAAGACTGGATTAAATAGACCATAGGACCCCAGAGAACTAGTTCTGCCAGGGGCGTGCTAGGGCCTCTGTTCAGGAGAGGGGAGATTGTACTGGTTTTGGAGTTTGCGTGCAAGTTGGGAAGGAGGAGGAGAGCCTGGCGATGTGGGTGGGAATGCTGGGCAGGCGTAGAAAATGTGGAACTGGCAGTGGAGAGGAATTGAAGTGGGTGCTGAATAATTTACTGATAGATACATTGAATGGGATTGCAAGGCATGTGGTGGATGGATCAATAAAACTCATTGCTGGGCAGGAGGCTAACTTCCTTTCTGTTCTATGAATTGACCTATAAAAGCCTAGGTGTTTTGTTTTTGTATTTAGCTTCTTCCCCTCCCTATATGAATAACTGAGAAGAGCTTGCTTGGGTTGTTGCTTCTTCCACACCCAAAGCCACTCCCAAAGCCATCCCCAAAGCCATCTCCCATCTGCTGGGAAGGGGTGGAAACAATGAAGAATTGTTTCTGGGAAGTGGCTAGCTTTTTAATTTACTGAATTTATTATGTCCCTCTGGATAGTTTCTTCAGCTTGGCCTCCTCTGGGTTGGGGATTTTAATAAAATTGTCAGGCCTGCACGATTTCTAGAGCCTGTGGAGCACCTGCTTCACAGGCCCCATGGATCCAGCCATGGTTCCTTTTCCATTCTAGAGGTGGCTTGGCTCTTCTTCCTGCATGAGCTTGAGGGCACCGTCCTCCCTCTCCGTTCTGCAGAGAAGTTTAGAAAATCATCAATAACAAAAATGGTCTCTTTGCAAAGGAGGTCGGAGTTTGAAGCACATCCGCAGACAGAGTTGGAGTCACCCACGAGTTGATGGTGTGATCTGAAAGGTGTGCATTTTAAAAAGTGAGCACGGGACCAGCACTGGTAGCTCTCAGCTGTAAATCCTAACGAATTCAGGAAGATGGGATCCAGGATGAACAGGAAAGATTCTATTGCCTTCAATATTATTTTCAGAGCACAGGAAAGGGAAGTATGAGTGGAGAGAAAGGGGCTTGGGTGGCGCAAGGCCTTCGAGAATAGGAGGGAGAATGAGAAGGGTCAGCTTCCAGCACAGCACAGAGAACGATGCCCTGCGGCCCACAGAAAATTGAGAAATACAAGGACCAAACAGGAGCAAGAAATGCAGTCCATCGCCAGAGAGGTCTGTGCACAGGCCGGAGGGAACCAAGGAGGAACACAGAAGCAAAAAAAAAAAAAGAGGCTTAAAACTGAAGTAGTGCCAGCCTTGTCCTTAACATGATATTGTATCATTTTTGAGCCTGCAACAGTGAAAGACCCCGAGGTCCTGAAATGGAATAGGGGTTACCCATGAGCACCAGGACATGTGTAACACAACAAGCCACAGCCAGGTGTTAGAGCTGTCTCCAGACAGAGCCTTCAGAGCTGAGAGCCCCCTGCAGGAAAGGTGTGGAATGACACCGAAGAAGGAGGACCCAGGCTCCTGGCCTCTGTGGAGAGAAATCGTCCCTCCCTCACTGCAGAGAACATCCAGGTCCCTGATACGAATCACTACCAGCTGTGTGCTGACATGCTTGGCCAGCTCCGAGAAAGATACTACATCCCAGGGGCTCAGCCAGACAATCCTCCCCCCCTCCATCCCCCCCTGCAACCCCAGCCAGTCCTCACTGCACAGACTGCAGACCTGGGGCTCAGGCCTCTCTGAGCCTCTTTGGACCATAGCTGTGGAACAAGCTGTAGGAGCTCTGGACATGCGCCAACGCTATGAGTCAGTCTTTCCTCAAGGCAGCAACAGGCTTAGACTTTCCCAGGGTGCTGTTGCACACATGAAGCCCCACCTCTAAGAGTTCCACATCTGGATCCCTGGCTGCTCACCCGAGCAGGGAAGTGGAGGACTTGAAGACAAGGCTTCCCTCCAGCCAGAAGGAACACTAGCAGCTGCAGCTAGGCAAAGAGCACAGCAGTGCTGTGAAGCTGCCCTGCCTCCTTCATTGATTGCTGGCTAAGAGCTAATAGAATCCCAGTCTCTCTTCATTCTCCCTCTCTGTATCTGTCTCTCTGTCTCTGTTTCTGTCTCTGTCTTTGTTTCTGTGTGTCTTGTGTCTCTCTGTGTCTCTGTTCTCTCTCTGTTCCCCCCTCTCGGTCTTTCACATAACTCCCCCACACACACGCCAGAGCATTACATATAATATACAGGAGCTTGTAGCTTCCACCACCAACATCTCAGGTCCTGATTTTTCAGCTAATCACACTGCAGATTCTCAGATAACATTATGGAGACTTGCCTGTTGGGTATTGCATAAATGAGGCTCAGAAATGGATGTCTGGTAGAGGTGGTGAAGCTAATAGTCTCAGCAGATTTTTCCCATTTCAAAACTGCACTTTGATTTATTTTTTTAATGGTAGTAGCAGTTCAGACATTTGAAATCACTCGCTGCTGCTCTCTTCCTTGATTTATTTTTTTAATGGTAGTAACAGTTCAGAAATTCGAAATCATTCTTTTTTTCTTGTTTGATGTATTGTCACCCATTTTTATACATGCATAAGAAACTGGACCTATAGCCTGTGAGCTCCTGGGTGATCCTGGCACTGGCTCTCTTGAATGGAACCCTCCTCCTCTGGGGACTTCACAGGTTCTTCTCCGAGGTACACCTGCACCTGTGGCTCGACTGAATCAGTGGATCCAAAATAGATCCAAATCTCAGCTGAGGAGCCATCTCTGACATGCAAATAGTGCTCATGATAACAGGCCACAGCAGAATGCTCCCTGGGGACTTTAAGATAAACAACTAAATGCCCAGCCTATATGAGTTCATAGGAATGGAGAATTGGGGACATAGCCAATAGCTATCCTAGAATTTTCTCCAGCTCTACAAAGGTGTGTGTGTGTGTGTGTGTGTGTGTGTGTGTGTGTGTGTGTGTGTGTGTGTGTGTACAGTCACCTTGTAGACTTTCTTCCTCCTCCTCCACTCAGTTCCCAGACCAGGGTGATAAGAACAGAATGGA